ATTGCCAGAGACATTAAGTGGTGCTTGGAAGTCATTGAGGATAAACTTGGATGCACATCGTTGTACTCTTTCCTGAGCAACAATCTCTTTAATGAGGTGAGGTCTCCAGATTTGGGAAGCATAGGTAAGTTGAGAGCAGACGAGAGCTGAATATAACCCTTTCTTAGCTGAAATACTGAGGCCATTGGAAAATGACCTCCGAATTAGGCCTAAGACTTTGTAGGCCCGAGCAGTGATCATTGTAAGGCGATTGCCCCATTTGAGGTCACTAGATATCAGGATTTACTAGATCACGATAGCACTCAAGGACTTTAGTTGGTGAGCTATTGATTGTGTAGTCATGGAGGACACGGGGGTGTTTAGGACAAAGACGGAGTAAAACACAGTTGTTTTCGTTGAAGTGTAAATTCCACTGAAGGCTCCAGGAAAATAGATTAGAAAGGTCATCTTGCAAAGGGTGGGAGTCAGATTGAGAGTCAGATTGAGAGGAGACATTATTGAGACATTTGGTATTGTCTGCGTAAAGGAATATGTGGGAATGCCCGACGGACAGAGGAAGGTCATTGATGAACATCAGGAACAGGAGCGGACCCAGGATACTACCTTGTGGAACACCTGAGATAGCAGGAAGTAAGTCAGATGTGCATTGGTTTAATAGAGCACATTGGGATGTACCAGACAGGTAGGACTGGAACCAGTTCCACAGGTATCCTGTTAGACCAAAAGACCAGAGTTTTATGAGAAGTTCATTGTGAGGCACACTGTCAAATGCTTTCCTAAAATCGAGGTAAGCAACATCAGCTTGTGAGTGGGTGTCTAGAATAGTGTGAACAGTGAGAAGGTCAGTAGTTGTTGTGTCGAGGAATGCTTTGGACGAAAACCAAATTGGCAGGAAGAGATATAATTATTATAGATATGAATGGGATTATCTTGTCATAGATCAGCTTTTCCAGGATTTTGGAGACAGAGCAAAGAAGAGATAATAGGACGATAGTTTCGCACGGATGACTTGTCTCCAGACTTGAGAACTGGAATAATCAGGTGCCCACGCCAATCTGTGGGAATTAAGGGAGTGTTGAGACAGACTTAGAAGAAATGGGTGGTGAAGGGGTTTGTAAAGTGCAAGTGCACATTGTTCAAGAATCTTAGGACCGATACCATCAATTCCCATGGCCTTTGATGTATCAAAAGTGGATAAAGCCTCATACACATCCAGTTCTGAAATGCCTATATCAGATAGAGTAGATGTAGGGGTGTGCAAAGGGTGAAAACTGAACGGAAGATGTTGTTAAAAAGAGACACTGTATGAATCCAGTGTGACAAGTGAGGGTATTGATCAGTTGGAGAAGAACGTCTTTTCCTTGCAGAGTGCAGGCGCTTAATTGTGTGTTTATTCTCGGAATTGAACCAACAAGGGCATCTCTTGTACTTCACTTTCACTTTTGGAATGAATAAGTTCATGCCCTTTTCAAAATAATTATCGTACGTTGAAATTTGGAGGGTTTTAAACTGTACAAAAAAATTTGCTTATCTGGAAGGCAGAGTTCTATTACCTCCAAATTGGGAGGATTTGGCAATACATGGTAGATCTTCATTAACAGCTATGAGCACTCCTCCTCCACGTGATTCTCTATCTTTCGAAAATTTAATAGGAGTATCTCTTTGTCATAAATAAAGTCAGAGAGCCAAGTTTGGGTGACACAGATGACATTGTATGGGGAGGAGTAGACAAAAGCTTGGAACTTAGAGATTTTATTGATGAGACCGCATGAATTTAGATAACAAACTTGAATTTTTTTGGGTAGTCATTGTTCTGGGTCAGCTGTGAGTTGTGATGGATAGGAAGATATGGATTGTGGTTGGCATGAAGGAGGTTGTTGCTTGGCTGTTTCAGAGCAACCCAGGGCCACTGTTGAAGTGTCTAATTGTGACTGAGACAAAGGTGTTGTATGTATGTGCTGGTGCTTGAACAATGGGAGGTGAAGCAAGCACAGCATTGTCGTGAACATCTTCACTGGAATTGTGATGACAAAAAGAGAGAGAGGTACCAGACACCCTTATTTGACCATGTAGCTTGTTACCGACAAAAAGACGAGAACTACGGATTTTGATAACATCACGGGGAACACCTGACTGGATCTCAAGAGCATTGACTCACTATTTTTCTCTTTTGGGGACATGTCAGGCTTAATTAACCCTCGGCGCGCATGCGCAGCGAGGGTTACGGTAGTTGTTACCCTCGGCGCGCATGCGCAGCGAGGGTACAGTAGTTAACCCTCGGCGCGCATGCGCAGCGAGGGTTACTGTAGTTGGGTCTGTCTGTCTGTCTGTCTGTCTGTCTGTCTGTCTGTCTGTTACTCTTAATCTCACTTCTTGAGTGTTTGTTTGTCTCACAAAGGATACCATCTACCCAACGGGCGACGAAGGTCAGAAAATAAAGGCGGTTTTCTCTGAAAATGCTCCGTTGCAGAGCTAGAGCGCTTCCAGCATTGTATGGCTAATGTCGGTATAGTCGCCATTTTATCGCTGGCGGATAATGCGCATGCGGTTATATTTACCGGGTCCGCTTGCTCTGTCTATCTTGAAGGCAAAAGAAGTCATAACGAATGGCGTGTATCGACTCTCGCGTGCTATCTACTATTGTAGCTAGCCCGTGTCAGACTCTCTGCGAGCTACTTCGCCGAGGGTTTGCACTTTAGTGCTTTTCATTGGGTCTGTCTGTCCGTCTGTTTGTCTGTTTGTCTGTTTGTCTGTTAGTCTACATCTCACTCCTCGAACGTCTGTTCGTCCCAGAAACGATACCCTCTACCCAACGGGTGACGAAGGTCAGAAAATAAAGACGGTTTTCTCTGAAAATGCTCAGTTGCAAAGCTAGAGCACGAAAAAGCCAATATGCAAATACGCAACGGACGGGATGGGTCTGATCGATTAGCGTGCTCTGCGACCTCGGAGGCACCAGAAGATGCAACGCAGGGCGTGTATCGCCGCTCGCATGCTGTCTAGTAGTGTTGTTAGCCCGCGTCAGACTCTGCGCGAGATGGCTAGAGACCAGGAGTAACAGCCAGAACTAAATCCGGCCCATCAATTAGTGATACAGCGCATGCGTTTACTCACGCGTGCGCGTCACAATGCGCCGAGGGTTTGCACTTCAGTGCTTTTCATTGCTTTTCATTGGGTCTGTCTGCCTGTTTGTCTGTCTGTTTGTCTGTTACTCTATATCTCACTCCTCGAACGTCTGTTCGTCCCAGAAACGATACCATCTACCCAACGGGCGACGAAGGTCAGAAAATAAAGGCGGTTTTCTCTTAAAATGCTCCGTTGCAAAGCTAGAGCGCTTCCGGCATTCTGCGGCTAATGCGTAGTCGGCCATTTTTATCGCTGCGGAAAATGCTCTGTGTATCTTGAAGTCACAACGAAGGGCGTGTATCGATTCTCGCATGCTATCTACTACTGTAGCTAGTCCGTGTCAGACTCTCTGCGAGCCACTAGCGCATACTACTAGGCAATAGCCCAGCCCATCAATTAGCAGTATCGATAGCGACAAACTGGCACGGTCGCTGACCGCGTTGCGTCGCCCAACCCAGCAATAAGCTGTGCGCATGCGTATAATATTAGACGAACGCGGTATGCTGGCTCACATCGACCTGATCCGCTTGCTCTGTTTACCTTGGAGGCACAAGAAGCCACAGCGAAGGGCGTTTGTCGACTCCGGCATGCTATCTACTACCGTAGCTAACCCGTGTCAGGGTCTCCGCGAGCTACTATATAGCGGGAGACAGCAGGTCAACGCATACTAATTGGCCCAGCCCATCTACCGCAGACGCGCAGTTCGTCGAGGGTTTGCACTTTAGTGCTTTTAATTATGCTCTGTATTATGGTCACTTTCATAACTAGCAGCAGACGTTTGTATCTACATGCATGTTTGTTGCTGCAAGTGTAGTTTTTCCTTTGTTTTAGCTAGTCGTCCTCACTCTCGCTTACGTTTCATGGGTCGGTGCACTTTAGGGAGCGGGGCTGCTAGACCTATCAAAAACAGATGTCTTCTTATGATAATAGCTAAAGCTGAGAATATATAGGGCCTCGTCTATCGGTTTATGAGAACATGCATCAGCTAGAAGTGTTGTACTTGTTGCTAGTGTAGTGCGCGCCGACGTTGCGCATGCCGCCGAATGATCTTCGCCGAGTATATAGTGTATTAGAAGGATAATATCCAGGTAAGACTCTTCATGGTACAAAACTGCTGGCTATTTATACTCATTGTCTTCACTAGGTGCGGGTAGGAAACAGGATTTACAAAGATGCGGAAAGAGAAGTGACTGCAATAAGTGATAACTATTTCCTACCTATAGGTGATAACAGTCAGTCAAGAGATAGCTAACTATTTCCTACCTATAGGTGATAACAGTCAGTCAAGAGATAACTATTTCCTACGTAGGTGATAACAGTCAGCCAATAGATGAAACATCGTGTCGTGAATGGGTGACAAGTTTAGGCCATTCCACAACCATTGTTATCACCACACTAGTAGAAAGGTCCAGTCCTTTACGTGTTTGTTACAGCGGTAACTTTTATTACTCTTCGGCTGGCCTGGATCACCACAAGATGGCGAGTCCCTCACCTGGCGTAGGATACAATATCACTCTCCGAGTTTCAGCCAGCATAGAGTCCAGTCGTAGAAAACTCAGCTAGCTCTGTGAAACTAGCGCGCGCGCCTTGCTATTTATCACTCCTGGAATCTTGGAGAGATAGAATCACAGAAATTACTTTCTGATTGCAATGCAGTGTGGAATGCACACACATACGAAGCATATCAATATTGAATGATGCACAGTGAAACTTTGAATAATTGACACCTTTAAGGATATTGAAAGTGTCCATTATTGAGAGGTGTCCCTCTCCAGCAGCGAAGTGCAACTGTAGCACACGCCCCTAGCTGCACATGCGCATACCGCACCACTGTCCCTGCCTGCGCATAAAAGAGGGTGTTCGCAGTAAAAATGGGCGTGTACAAAATAATATTCATCACTCTACAGCAAAATTGTTTTTTTTTAGACGCTAGTAACTTCCACATTGGTGACTCTGAAAATGAGAGTGTCATTCACCAGGTACTCTTTACCCTCTTCAGGGTTGTAGAGATCTGAGTGGGAGATGAATTCATCTAAACCCCATCCTGCTGCGTTAGCCTCACCCCCAGTCACTCTTTGGAAAGCTTTGTCACGTTCATCTGGATCAGTGTGGTTAGCTAGTGCTCCCTCATACTTTTCTCCTCCCTCTTTCTGGTTGACCAGTTCAACTGTGATCTCTCCTTTTAACGGCCACTTGAGATGGGAATCAAACTCTCCCTTCATCATGTAGACAAATACACTAACATGAGTACCCTTACTACCATTGGCATAAATTTTAAGGCGCATTTTGTAGCCACCAATGTGAGTATAAAATCCTGGACTAAACCACCACGTATTACCCTTAAGTTTTCTTTCAAATCCAGTCATGATGATATCAGAAGGTTGATTGAATACAGGTTTGGGAGCAATTTTAGTAAAAGCTAGTTTCAAATCTGCTAACTCAGCTCTGAGATTCTTGCATTCTGAGACTGTCATTTCAATATGCTCATCTTTGCTGTTATCCAAATGTGTTTTCATTGATTTTCTCTCTACTTTTGCCTGGCAACCACCAAAGGAAAATTTGCATGGGATTTTTTCCAGAGGACATTCCTCTTGGAGATGGTGTTGGAGAAATCTACGCTCAATTTCAACTGTAGAACATTAGTTGGGGCAAATCTTGGGATAACGCTGGCATTTCGGCCAATGATCAACGACAACCTTTTGATATGTCGCCTTGTAATCGCAACATTGGCAGGTAAATGGTTGTTTGATACATTGAGATTGATGTTTCTTCAGATTGCGTCGCTTGTATCGTTCGCCACACTCCAGCAGACATTCAACATCGACGAAATCACACTGCCCCTCCACTGACCCTTGTTTCAAGTGATTGTCTAGCTCTCCTAACTCACCCACCCACTCACAACCACCAGACTTGTTGCTGCACTGCACTTTCAATTGCCTCACCTTCTTCCTAAAGAATCGATCGTCGGTTGTTTTCAGAGGCGCTGCCTTACAAATCGGACACGGTTTTCCCTCGGCCTCGAGTTTCTGGGCGGCGGCACGTGAGAGATGGTTACCGCAGCACGAGTTGGTCTGCACTGGATCCAGGAGTAGCTGGAACGTGACGGGACAGAAGAACTCTTCGGATGGCCTTTCTACAAAGTCGTACTCAAAGCTGTTTGTATCAGCATTCGAAGCCATCGCAACATACAAGGACAGGGGGCAGCAAACGAGGCAGCAAGGGTGTGACAATTACAATACACGTGGTCAGACACCACGCCCGGCCGCGCGCGCTCTTGCCATGTGACTTCCGTCGCGCCTTCAACACACCAAACTCCGCGTGCTCTTTTGTACGTGTGTGCTGTAGTAGAGTGGTATAGTAGAGTACAAGAACAGACACCACACACACAGAGAGAAAAAGAGATCGTGACTGCTAGCAGCGTCTGCAGAGAAGCTTCGACTCCCAAGAGAAAGTTGGAGATATCGTTCGGCGGCTGTGAATTCCTGGGCGTGCGGTATCACGTCGGAGTTGGGAAATGCGTCGTGGCCCTAGCTCCTTACACTCTCTCTCTCTTTCTTCATTCTTTCGTACTGTTTTTCTGCTTATGATAATAGCTAAAGCTGATAATAAGGTCCTCGTCTAGCGGTTTATGAGTATATACATCGGCTGGAAGTATTGCCCATTCCCTACGTGTTTGCTACAGCCGTAACTTTAGACCTCTCTCCATAATTATTACTCTTCGGCTGCCGGGGTCACCACAAGACGGCGAGTCCCTCGATAGGATACAATATCACTCTTAGGATTTCAAGATGCAGCTCTAGCATGCAGTGCGGTGGAGTCCAGTCTCAGATAGCTCCAGCAGCGTAGCGCGCGCCTACCTGCGCATGCGCATTCCGCACCACTGTCATCCCTGCTGCGCCTAGCTGCGCATAAAATAGTATTCGCAGTAAAAATGGGCGTGTACAAATATTCATCAATCTACAGCAAAACTATGATAGTGTTTTAGACGCTAGTGACTTCCACGTTGGTGACTCTGAAAATGAGTGTCATTCACCAGGTATATACTCATTACTCTCTTCAGGGTTGTAGAGATCTGAGTGGGAGATGAATTCAGGTTCGCCTCTTCCTACTGCTGCTTTGTCACCTTCGGTTACTCCTTTGAAGAACTTGTCATTTGAATCACTGAGTTTAATTGAACTGGTTGTGTTTCTTTGAAAAGTCTGGTTGACCAGTTCAACTGTGATCTCTCCTCTGAATGCCCACTTGAGATGGGAATCAAACTCTCCCTTCATCATGTGGACAGCCACACTAACATGAGTACCTTTACCACTGGCCCATCCATTGGCATAAATACAAAGGCCCATCTTGTAGCCACCAACGTGGGAGTAAAAAGCTGGACTATACCAGCGTTCACCACGTTTTTTACATCCCTCGAAGTCAGTCATGTTAATATCAGGGGGTTGATTGAAGATAGGCTTGGGGGAAATTTTCGCAATAACCAGCTTCAAATAGTTGAGTTCAGCTCCAACTGTTTTGCATTTGACAGCAGTCATTTCCAAATGTTCGTCTTTGCTCTCTTCCAAGTGGTTTTTCATTGATTTTTGCTCAACTATTTTGCGACAACCGGCAAAAGCGAAACTTGCAAGGATTTTTTTCCAGAAGACATTCCTCTTGGAGATGACATCGACGATCAATTTCATCAGTTGAACATTTGTTGGGGCAAACCTTGGGATAATGCTGGCATTTTGGCTAATGATCTTTGACAACCTTATATGTCGCCTTGTAATCACAATATTTGCAGGCAAATGGTCGTTTGTTACATTCATTGGATTTGTGCTTCGCTAGATTGCAACGCTTTATACGTCCGCCACACCGAAGGGGACATTCAACATTAACGAAATCACACTGCCCCTCCACTGACCCTGGTTTCAGGTGGTTGTCTAGCTCTCCCAACTCCCACACCCACTCACAACCAGCAGACTTGTTGTTGCAGCGAACTTTCAGTTGCCTCGGGATATAATATCACTATTCGAGTTTCAAGATGCAGCCCTAGCTTGCAGTGCGGTGGAGTCCAGTCTCAGAACACTCAGCTAGCTCCAGCAGCAGCGAAGTGCAACTAGCGCGCGCTAAGCTGCGCATGCGCATACAGCACCACTGTCCTGCCTTAGCCTCTAGCCTAGCCTATAGAGGCCTAATAGGCCGTAAAAATAGGCGTGTATAATTCATCACTCTACAAAATAGTTCAACTTGTGTTTTAGACGCTAGTGACCAAAACCAAGTGAACAAGCCAATATGGTAATTAGCACAGGCTTACCTCGACCGCTTCCGCTCGCTCTGTGTATCTTGAAGGCACAAGAAGTCACAACGAAGGGCATGTATCAACTCCCGCATGCAATCTACTACTGTAGCTAGCCCGTGCCAGACTCTCCGCGAGCTACTAGCGGGATACAACGAGTAAAGAAAAGAAAAACCCAGCCCATCAATTAGTGGTACCACGCAAGCGCAGTTCGCCGAGGGTTTGCACTTTAGTGCTTTTCATTAGAATAGGTCAACTTCTTAGAGATCCTCTTTTGGAGAGGACACCTGTAGCATCAGCTGCATGGATAAACTTTAGTAAGAGGGGCCAGGTTTTTTTTAAATTTCGGCAGAGAATTTGCCAAGACAGAAGACGTCCTTTACAGATTGGGAATTGATGGAGTTTTCTACACCTGATAGAAGTGAAACAGCCTTTTTCAAATCTCCTTGTAACCGAGAAGGTCTGGAAGTTCCTCTGGGACACTCATCAATCCCGTATAGTATTCCTTTCTTGACTGATTCGGAGGAGGGCCACAGTGGAGGTACTTGGAGGGTAGGCCGAAATGGCACTCATAGTTGCAGGGTCCTGTGTGGTGTTCGGTGCGGATGCGTAGCTCCTAGCGGCAGTAGCTTCTAGAGCGGGTCTTGACTGTAACCCAGCAACGTTGGTCACTTGGGAGGAGGATGCAACAAAATTGTTGTTGAGCTAAAACATGGCAGATGCACAGCGAAAGATGTGCCTCACTTGGTAGCATGCTTACCTCGTCTACAGCCTTTCACAGAAGACTGTGTATATAGGCTTTGACATGGAACCCTTCTCTAGCGAGCACGCTCGTCTCCGCCGAGAGTTTGCACTTTAGTGCTTTTCATAAAGGGCTCACCTGTAATACATGCGACTCAGTGTCTGTGCATGTTACTAATCAAAGTTTCTACCCTGTTGGACAGGACCAAAGAAGATGTTTTTAACTGTAACTGAAAGCATGCAAGAAGATTTTATATGTGAGGTGAGCATGTTCAATTGAGCCATAAAAACATGATATCTTCTTTGGTCCTGTCCAACAGGCGAGATTTGTTGTATATAGAACAAGTAATCTGCAAAAGTGTTCTCAGCAAACTCCAATATTGCTACTAACTGCTGCAAAGTTCGTGTTTGCTACTAAAAGTGCGTTCACGCTGAGAATGCAGGCGGAAGTAGATAATGAGGAGGGCGGTACTATTCTCGCCGTAGCTATGTAAAGTACGACGTAGAACTGTATGGGATTATGCGTAGTGAAAAAACTACGCAGCGCTGAACAGACCGGAGTGTGAAGCGCTACATTTTGATACCCAGGCAAGCGTGGCGGCATACGGTGCTGGAATCGGTAGTTATTCTAGATTTTCAAGGTGCTTCTCAGTGCGAACGTACTTTAGCTAACTGCTGCAAAAGCTGCCATAAAACCCCAAAAACACCTGCAGGGGATTTTTAAATTGTTTTTATTATTATTATTATTATTATTACGCTTTATAGTACATGAAGAAAAAAATGAAAACAGTGAAAGTGGTGAGTATTGAGGCATTAGAGATGACATGTACTGAGAGTACACCAGATAGATGCTGATGTCCTAGGAGGTAGAATAACTAGTAACTATGGACGAACACAAACACTTAGCACGTGGGCATACATAATGGAAAGAACAGGGGTCAGAACAGAGAAAACAAGAGTTGAACTTGGTCCAGAAAACTTGGTGAAGGTGACTATTGATGGTATTAATGGAAAGGTCGAGATTGATTGGCGGAAGAGAGTTCCAGAGTCGTGGAAGTCGGTTGAAATAATGATGAGCAGAGGTGTTAGACTTTGATTGTGAATGAGTTAGTTTTTGATGTGTGGAGGACCGAGTGATTCTTGGACATAGGAGAGGAGTGAAAAGGCATTTGACGTATCGGATTCTTGAGGCAGCGAATAAAGAACAAGACATCATGGAGTTCAAGTGGCATCATCCGGGGTAGTAGATTGAGGGACAAAAATACGATGTTTATAGTCAGACTGAAAGTCATTCAGAATGTATTTAGTGCAGGACACGTTCTAGTGCCAAGATGTCTTTGATGAGATGGGGCCTCCAGATCTGTGAGGCATAGGTGAGCTGAGAACGAATTAGCGTGATGTACAGGTTCTTTTTAGCAGAGATGTGCAATCCTGAGGAGAATGTGCGCCGGATAAGGCCTAAAATCTTGTAAGCTCGAGAGGAAATAAACATGGTGGTTGCTCCACTTCAGATCACAATACCGAGATCACGATGGTTATTGCAGCTTAATTGGTTGACAGAGACTGTTTATTGATTGTATATCCATGTGATCCTCACCTCGTTGTATACACTGATTGTAAACCACAAAAAATGCTGGCTACCATGGGAAAGCTAGCTAACTGCTACTGAAGTTTCGGTAGTCGGCCTTTTACCTCCTCATGTCATGAATAGCTAACGCTGCCATTACATGGTAGACATGAATATGTAGCTTTTAGCCGTTAGGCTGCGAAGGCACGAGGTCGACCTGCATCATACTGTAGCGCATGCGCACGAATGCGTTGCTTCCCCCCTTCTCCCGCGCCGCGCGCCCTTCGGAGCGTCTACCGATGCAACACAGAGTAAAATACTTCAAAACGCAAAATGATGATTTTCGTAGGTCTTCTATTAGCCACTACTTCCCTAGTCTACAGTCCCCTTTGTGGAGCTGAGAGCGGCTCTAAACAAGTGCCAGTGTATTTCTCTCTCATAATATCTGGCGGAGAAAATGGACATCGCTCTTCCGGTGGTATTCCGTCAATTGACATGGCTCTTGACGCTGTAGCAAGAACTGGGATTCTTCCAGGCTACAATCTTACTTATAAACACATCAGAAACTCAAAGGTTAGCTGGAGTATTTAACAGGGGTTAGAAATCCTACCATGACTACTACCAGCAGTCTCTTTCATGTCCGCATGTCCATACTATAATTTAGGGCAGGTTGTGTGCCATTAGAAGTAGCTATATATATATATATCCTTCCCCAGTGCACTCGGACAGACTCCCTCGATGTGTTTTTCAGGGATACTCAACTGGGAGCTGTGCCAAAGATTGCTGTGGTTGGTTGTGGCTGTTCCACTGCAACAGAGCCAGTGGCTGAGATCAGCCACTACTGGAATATAACTCATGTTAGTGCACTATTCTCGTCCTGAGCCAAGCAGTTTGTTTCACCATGCTGTGTTCCTGTGTACTAAGAGTAAACAACGATTAAAATAATTTTGATGTAATGTTTGACCTTTGCAATAAAAATGTTCCGACATTATTCCTGCTCTTCATGATTAGATAACAAGTTGTTGCTAATAAGTGTCTATTATAAATAGATATCGTTTGCTTCTGCTCTATCATCCCTGAGCGACAGGTCAAGATTCCGGTATTACTTTCGAACCACTCCATCATTTGCCAACTCTGCTCCTGCCATACTTGGAGTGCTAAACAACTTCAACTGGAAACAACTTGCCTTTATAACACAAAATAACAACCTATTTCTGCAGGTAATCACAGTTTGTTTGGATGAGCTTGTCAGTTTTAGGGAACATTGGTGCTATGTGTCCATTTCGTGCAGATACTAAGTGATTTTGAAGAACTGAAGCAGAATCTAATGGATGGTAAGACGGAAGTGTGCTGTTTTGATAACCATGATATTGAGATGGACAGTGCCATATTCGAGGATAGCGGAGATCCAGTCGCTGCAGCTATAAAAATGCTTTGTGAGTGTCAGGTGAATGAATCATGTAATGTTGTAATGTTGCATACAGTAGAGTGGGTGACAGAAAAATTACCGCAGTTAGTGTTATAGCTGCAAGAGCGAATTTTGCTGAGAACAGATTTGCAGATTTCAATACAAAAAATTCTGCTTTCAAAAATTTGCTCACAGCCAATCAACAATAGAACTGTGAAAGTTGTCTCCCTCAAGAGTTTCAAGAGTCGGCTATTCAATACTCTGTACATTAATCTAAGCTCACCAGTTATACATGTTACTTATCAATGTTTATGTACTGTAGGACCAAAGAAGATTTCACGTTTTTGTGTTGAACTGTTACTCAAAACATGCAAGAAAAATTGTGTGTGAGGTGAGTATGTTCAATTGAGCAAAAATAGAATATTATTCTAACACCAATGCCAGGCATTAAAAAGGAATTTGGTCTACCCTCACTATGGCTGGATTATGTTTGGCTGGTATCCAGACAAGTGGTGGATAGAGGAAGTAGCAGGAGAACACATTGATGAGTGCAGTGACGAAGAACTTGAGACCTTTCTGAAAAGTCACGGTCACTGATCATAGACAATCTTCCTGAACCTGATGACTATCACCAAACAACAGATGCTGGGATTGTAAGCTAATAAGAGAATTTTGGTTAGGCTTTTATGTAAATCTTCATGGCAATAATGACAGAGTAAATTCCATGGTAGCACTGGACATTAAGCTTGTTTCGTACTACAGTTCCACTTAGCTAACATTCCTGTACTTTTCATTCATGTTTCCTAAGAAATGAATGGGCATTTTACTGCACCCTTTCCTGCATTTCCACTGCCTTTTATTTCTTCAGTCAACAGATCAATTTATCAAGAACTATACTCAGAATCTGCGAGACTCTGAGTACATCATTAGCGCTGTCTATATAGTAGCATTTGACACAATATGGAGTCTGGCCCTTATGCTCAACAAAACAGAGGAGATGAGAATGAGTAATGTGTCGAAAGAAGAGTCTCATTTACGAACTGCAGTCATCTTGATGGTGAATTGGTACCTCTGAATGACTTCAACTACTCAAATGCCTTCATGGGTTGTGTCATGAAGGAAAACTTCCACAGAGTCAACTTCACTGGAGTGTCGGTATTTACATTGCTAGATCAGCACACTGTAAGATAAACAACTAGAGTTGTTACATGCAGATTATACTTACAGCACTGAGCTTTTTAAACTTCAAAAGTGATATTTTTATGCCTTATATACACAGTAAAGTGTTAATGTTTACATGGGGGGGGTTACATGGGGAGGGGTGTCCTGGCAACCTGCCTTGGTTTCTTACTCCCCTGGATCGAAACCACTCATGTTCGCAATCAATAGCAGCTGGATTACTCTGTCAAAGCAAAGTTGTATATCTAGCTAAAATGACCAGGCATTAATTGTCTATGTTACCAGACTGAATGCAACACATTTTTGCTGACCAAACATGAGCTAGCCACGAGTAGTTGTCTGTCTTTCTGCGTGCACTCACACAAATAGTGGGTTTGTCGGATTTGCATAGGGATTTATACAAACACAAAATGGAAACTCCCGAGAAATACTTACATGCTCTTCATTCCTGATTGATGAAGATTAGAGAAGAATATGAAGAATATTATGACACGAAATCGTACGCGATTTCACGATTTCGTGTCATAATATTCTTCATCTTCTTCTTCTTTAGACCCGCTTTCTCCTTACTGGAACAAGTTGAAGCGCTGATTTTTTCACTGAACGTCTCCACTTTCGCCGGAGGTGTGCACGGACATCAAGCGATCGTTTATTTCTTGCCGCTAGTCACTACGGTAGATCATGGAGCTCTTCCATGGTTGACACTGAACAACGCCATTTGCTGCTAACTCAGCATGGGTGAGCCGCGCGCATGCGCCTGGCAGGGGCCTTGTCCAGTACATGCAGTTGGCAGACCTGCAGAGGAACTCTCAGCCTCTCAAGCCATCCCTATATCCCCCTTTCATTTTTCCACTTGTATAAATTGAATTGGAAGGGCTTTTTCAAAAATTCAATCTATGATCAAAATTTGGGCTGCATGCACTCTGAAATGAGCAATACTGTACTAAACGAAAATGGCCGCTCTGGGAAAAAGTATATAATTATTACATACCATTCGGCGCCTAATGGTACCTTTTCCCAGAGCGGGTCACATTATATACACTCTGAAAACTGTTCTACATTTAACCTCTTGTACCCTATATATAAACACATTTCCGCTACAAACAGTCTGTTTTGATATGATTGGCGAGTGAAATACACTTACCTAGTCGTTTCAATGTGGGAATTTTCGTAATTACAATAGCTACATCAATTATATTAATGTGACGGCTCTGCACATACCGTAAAGTTCTACGTATTCGCATAACACGCACAATATAATGAACTGCTCGTGCTCCCTCACCAACAACGCGGTGCATTCCTCTTGATGACAGAAATCAGAAAATGGTTGGTGGTTGTTGGCAGCAATGATGACTTCATAACAGTTAACCTGCTCACAGCATAATAATTTTGATGATGATGTGAGGTTATAGATATGCATATCTATATTGCACAAACCTTTGACTGTTCCATCGACAAGGGTTGTAACACATTTCAGCTATTCTGTTTATAGGGTCCAGTTCGGTATGATGAGAATGGAACTATTGTCTACACAAGAATCAGACTGTCCCAGTACCGAGAGGAAAATGGTATAAAGGTCTGGTCATTTCTGTTCCTGTTTTTGAAAGAATAAACATTCTTTTTTCAGACCTGGTGTCATTGAAAAGATTTGGATACTTGGACAGAGACTCAAACTTTGCTCTTGTATACGAAACTGGAGAGAGTGACAAAACTCTGTATCCAGGTAGCTACCCAATATGACACGCATTAAACTGCATGTCATTCAAACTAGCTTAACGATTAACCAGCCACGGACACATAAATGTATCCAGAGCCTCCATAAACCCATAAGAATTTTTATGGGGATTTCAATACTAGCCACTAATACTTTGTTCAACTGATTAAAGCAGATCCCCATGGTGTTTAAATGGTTAATTAAGTGTTGCCTGTTATTATATTTAGCATTCCTAGCATTACTACTTACAATATAACGGTAGCGTTAGGTGCACTCTTTGTCTTTTTTGCAGATGGTTTTCCACCGGATGGAACTCCTATGATTGTAGTTCAAGGTCCTCATAAGGCACTTGTTGTAGTTTACTACATTCTGGCAGTCTGTGGAATCATAGGATCCATTATATTTCTGATATTAAATTTCCTATATCGCAACACAAAGTAAGATACTGACTTACAGCTTAAGGTACTTTTAATATTAAATGTGTAACTACGGCATTTTCTTTTCCCAGAGTTATTTGTCTTACAACGCCACTTCTCAGTTACATCATCACTAGTGGGGCCTTACTGATGTATTTGTCTGTATTTCTCGGTTTACTGCCATCTACAAAGAAAGCTGTGATACGAATGCAATGCAATGTGAGCTATTATACGGTACAACATACACTGAAGGAAAGCCTTCTACATATACACAGATCCATGTATGGCTGTATGGAGTTGGGTATCTCCTTGTTTACGGAACACTACTGGCAAAGATGTGGAGAGTCTACCAGATATTTCACAACCCAAATTCAAACAAAACAGTATATAGCTGGGTGTTTCATACCACACTCTAATTACGCAGTGTTAGTATAAGATTTTCTGTTTTAGATTCTCAAGACGTGGCATCTCATGTGTGTGGTGTTCTCTGTGACTGGTGTTGGAGTGCTGCTCATTCTCGCCAGATCTGTGGCCCAGGCACTCACTGATCCTGACTTGGTGACCAACAAGGAAAATCCTGAAGGAGCAACAGTAAGTATTAGCCGTTGGTTTACTACTAACTGCGCTAGTAATGAGGCTGCGATGACATGTTCAAAATACTTATGTGGCAGCCAGGCCATTGAGCATGCTACTTGCAGGTATATAACAGCAGTACTGCTATCAATGCCAGTGCTTACTCGCTCACATACAACTGAAGGACTATTTACCTGAGGGTCAGTAGTCAATGTTCAACCTATTCATTATTTTGCAGGGTTCAGATATTCAGAAATTCAACAAAGTATGGCAGTGTTATGGCTCTGGATCTGCTCCATTTTATCTCGACCTGGTGATATTTGTGTACCTTGGACTGCTGCAGGTGGTGGGCATCATCCTAGCCTTCCAGACCCGCAAAGTCAAAATCCCTATCCTGAATGACTCAAAGTCGGTGACAGCTCTCATATACATCTCCAGTATTGTACTGGTGGTGATAGTCCTTATCTCCTTCATCTTGAATGAATATGTCAATGTCAGAGCTGTCATGTTCTACGGGGGAATCATACTACTGGCTACAATCTTCCTGGCACTGATTTTCATTCCAAAGGTATAATGCTTACTATAGACCCATATAGTCCTATCTAACACATGTATAATTATATGTATCACATAAGTCTAGCTGTGTAAGTCCATGAGGATTCTGTCACAACCGTCATCAATTGTACATTTCGCCTGACCACATAAAACACTGCACAAATCCTCTCAGTAGCTACATCCCATAGTGCACAGCTGCACTATTGCTCAGATGATACGTTGAGGACCAGGAACTATTATTAGACCATTACCTTGAGGGATTAAAGTTTCCCCATGAATACAGTTTTCTCACACACACTGATGTAGCTATTTCAAGCCTGTTCTGTGTTCTATGAGCTGGTGGACAATGGATTGTCTCACAGCTGGAAACAAATCTTGAAATGCCCCTTTGTTTTCTACCTTGTCAGGTGATAAGCTTGCATCGCGATCCAGCGGGCAATGAGATCTTCAGTGATATTGATGATCCTTCCAAACGTGCAGAGAAGTGTGAGATAAAAGGCAATCATAACAACATCGCTGTGGGCCTGGCCGAGCTAACCGACTCTGAGATGGTCCCAAGTGGCTGAAGGACACTTTGAATGACAAGAACAGGACAGCTGAGCTGGAGTCTGTCGTAACACCACTACCTAGATTTGTAGAGCTATGAACAAGCTGCTGTGTCATTGTAAATTGACTGCTGTATGATTATGGTAGCTAACTTAGTGTAGTTTGTTACTTGTAATGTTGCCCAAGATATGCTTTGCCATAGAGCCACCTCTCCCCTATAAAACCCTCTGAATATTATTAGCTATTTTGCAACAGTTTGCATAAGATTTTGTGACTGTGTAGGCCAAAACAGGGTTGTAATATTAGTCTATTATTATAGGGTTTATCAGGACATAGCTAGACGCTGCAACTTGTATTTTTTATCCACTCACCTATACACTGTTCACGCCAGATCTGCATCAAAATAATCTTCTATCTATGGTTACTTAATGAAATGATCATGTTGATATCAAGTAACTGTCAGGTGACATTATGATGGCTACTGAATCAAGGCATTAGAAAAGCACTGAAGAAAGTAAGTAAACGCATGCTCCGTACCACTAATTGATGGGCAGGGTTTAGTTTTAGCTGTTACTCGTGGTGTCTTGCCAGCTCGCGCAGAGTCTGACGCGGGCTAACTACACTACTAGATAGCATGCGAGAGGAGATACACGCCCTGCGTTGCATCTTCTGGTGCCTCCGAAGCACGACCGCGGCAAGCCGTCCCGTCCGTTGCGTATTTGCATATTAGCTTTTTCGCGCTCTAGCTTTGCAACGGAGCATTTTCAGAGAAAACCGAACATAATATCTGACCTTCATTGCCCGTTCAGCAGGTGGTATCCTTTGTGAGACGAACGAGCACTCGAGAAGTGAGATGAAGACTAACAGACAGACACACAGACAGACACACAGACCTCGCAGCTACAGTAGTAGTAGATAGCACGCGAGAGTCGATACACGCCATTCGTTGTAACTTCTTGTGCCTTCAAGATAGACAGAGCAAGCGGCACCGGTCGAAGCCTGTGCTAAATATAAGCGCATGCGCAAGCGATGAAATGGCGACTACGGCATTAGCCATACAATGCTGGAAGCGCTCAAGCTCTGCAACGTATGGCGCGCCGTTTGTGTCAAAAAGAAATTTTCCTCAGTAATCGTGGCGACGAATCGCGACGAATCGATTTTCGGGGCGACGATTCTACTTTCGTAGCGACGATTCTTCATTCGTGGCGACAAATTTCTACGGCTAAGATTGTTAATCAAGCGACGAAAGCTTCTCAAGGGAACTAACCTTGGATTTAGGGCGACGACCAGTTCATTTATGCGGCACGCAGCTAACTTTACTACTGCGACGATATAATATCGTGATCCAGGTGGGAGAGTTCAAAGGTTAACTTACTGGAAACCAGTAGAGGCGGGACTTTCATATTGACTACAGGCGCATTTTTGGAACTCTAGGAAAGTCAACTCTCCCACCCGATCACAAAAATCGTCGCAGTGATCGATTTACCTGACCGCAGTGAGTCGCTTACCGCCGCCTCAAGCCAAGATATTTCGCCTTTGTCAGAATTCTGTCGCTTGATAAACAATCGTCGCGTAGAAATTCGTCGCCGCAGACGTCAGTTCCTACCCACGCCTTCAACTGCGTGTGAGTATGTGAACAGGCATAACGGGGCTGTTCGTTGTCTACGGACAAAATTCCCTACCGCCAGAAGGCTTTATAAAGATCCCTGTAGATCTCAACAACGGTGCCGTGGGAGAGTATGTTTATGTCTGTTATACGACTGGCGCAGGCGATCCCATTAACTTCATTCAGGTGTTTGCTGGGGACTCGAAGGATTTTGAAATTCAGAATGGCTACGACAAGCTCCCTTACGACTTGAACAAGGGTGCTGGAGGCAAATATTATTTATCTCTGCTATACGAAGGAGGAGTTTGCCCGACCTGTGATGGATTTGAACGTCGTGCAGGGATCCAGCCCCCATGTCTACCCTACATCTGAATGGTTCAGGATCAGCCAGGATTGCCCAGAGGGTGCTGGAGGGGATTACACTGATAGTGTTCAACTTTAAGCTGTGTTAGCTATTTCTGTGAGTGCTGGCAATATAATTATAGTAACAGTATTATACCAGTCAATAGGATATCAGTGACGCACTGTTGTTTGCATTCACAGTGACCATACGTTAAATAAGGGTAATGCCTGCATACATTCCTCAAAGCACCTATATAGTAGGGCTCCTAGGGTGCCCTATGATATCATTCCATGTTAATAATGTCCCATGGACAATAAACTGAAATTCCACTTCCTAGTGACCTCTGACAAGTAAAAGTCCCTAATAAGGAATAGCCACTTAGAGGACATTACTGGGAAAAGTTGTAAGTCATCTGGCTTCCTATAAAGAGGATAGAGGCTGTACTTCCTGCTGCATCATTTATCATGAATACAATGGCAGGCAGCTTTTAGATATTAGTCATGCACATCAGGAAAGGAACGGCTCACAGTGTGCAGTAAAATTTCCCACGGGTATTCACAAAGCCTCCCATTGACTTTACTACCAAGCAATCATCCACCTCTGTAAAGGTTTCAAAATAGCGGCAGCAACATGTTTCAGACTTTCTTGAGCCTTTACCTTTCTTCACCCATATGCAGCCTGCATTGTGCATTCGAACAATATGTCTTGAATGTTTGCAAAACTGTTGTTGCCAAACAATGAGCCAGGAACAGAGTTATTTAGCCAAAAATCACCCTAAGGACAGTGATATCCCCACGGACTTATTTATAGCAGGGTTTTGACCCTTAGGACAGATTTGCAGTCCCCTGGGTTCCTTATCCTTGGGGACACATATTTTCCCTGACGGTTAATAATACTTGCATAATACTTGCATCTTTCTTGCCCTTACCCTTGCCCTAGTCCTAGGGGTGTATTATACTTTGCACCTTCCTAGCCCTGAGGGTGAATGACACACTAATCCAGAAGATGCAACGCAGGGCATGTATCACCTCTCGAATGCTATCTAGTAGTGTAGTTAGCCCGAGTCAGACTCGGCGCGAGCTGGCAAGAGACCACGAGTAACAGTTAAAACTAAACCCAGCCCAAGACCACGAAGTAACAGTTAAAACTAAACCCAGCCCATCAATTAGTGATACCGCGCATGCGTTTACTCACGCGTGCGCGTCACTATGCGCCGACGGTTTGCACTTCCGTGCTTTCCATTTAGCCCATTAGCATTACGAGGGTAAATTCACCTATAGAATGTTATGAAAATTTCAGTCAGTGAGAAGTGTTTGGTGGTGTGATGTGATGTGATGTTTTTCTAATCATTCTCCTACATTTGTCCTGTGTTTCTACCTTGTTTCTATTATTAAAAATGTCCGGGTGTTTCTCCATTATCTCCAGGCACTTCCTTCTGGTTGGTACAGTCTGGTGTGCCATTACGTCTATCTCTTCCTTCAGTATCTTTTCCTCCTCCTTGGACCATTGCCGTCTTTGTGGATGATGCGGTACAGCATCCCCTCTCTTTTTATGATATTCGTTCAAATGATTCCATAGCCTCTTCACTCTTTTGCTGCATCCAGGTACCGGACAGAGCTTCTGACTTGGCTCTCCACCATCAAGAGGACTGTCTGGTTGTGTTGGCAGTCCTGCAGGTTGCACTCCCCTTTTCCCTTCGGTAAAAAACGCTGCCAACTGTGAATCTGGAAACACATCGTAAGTGTTGAACATAATATAAGAACAGTACTCATACCTGTGTAGTTCCCTTTACTCTTATGGAACTGGAATAAGTGATTCCATAGCTTTTTCACTGATCTTCTACACCCAGGGACTGGGCAGAGCTTCCTGCCTGCTGGCTGTTGCATCTGGGAGGGGAGGGGAGGAGAGTCTGCTGTAAAATCCTTCCGTATCCGTATGGAATGATGATCCCTAAACTCTTTCTCTCTTTTATACCCCAAGACAATCCCATCCTCTTTGACCTTCCAATCCCTGAAATCCCTCATGCCTCCGCCCTAATGAGGTTTACAATCCCACAAGAAGGCTGCCCTTCCCCCGAGGGATGCTTACTATCCCTCATTCTCACTTTCTAATCCTTTTATCCCTAACGGTTCAGCCCTAAGGAAAGCTTAAAACCCACAATGAAGGCTTACTATCCCCAGAGTCCCTCAGAGAGTAGGTGCTACCAGTTTAACACCACCCCTAGTGGTTTTCAGTCCTGCTAAGGAAAGTTTAACACCCACAATGAAGGCTTACTATCCTCAGAGGGATGCTTACTATCTGTCAGAGAGTAGGTGCTACCTATTTAACACCACCCCAATGGTTTGCAGTCCTGCTAAGGAATGCTTAACACACATAATGAAGGCTTACTTCTTACTATCCCCAGAGGGATGCTTACTATCCCTCAGAGAGTAGGTGCTATATACCTATTTAACACCACCCCAATGGTTTGCAGTCCTGAGGGTAAAGGCCCAAGGGATTGTGCTCAATATACCTTACAGTCCAGCAGCTGGTACCATTACACAGGGAAAACGCGATGGTAGCACGGTTCCCGTACTAACGAATGACGGTTTCCGTGACAACGGGTAGCTACGACACTCCGTGGTACACCGATACGGGTATATACCGTTTGTATACGTAAAGGGACAATTTTCGCGGACCTCCGTGCGGATGAGTTCCGTTACAACGCCTTACAGTATATCCGTTATCTTCCTTGCGCATGCGTTAATAATAATACTGTTCACTTCAAACACACGCAGGTAATGGCAAGTCTAAGACTGCTGGACAGCCCAATCAGGAGCATCTGGCGGTGGCTCCAGCAGAGACAAACATGATAGAAGTTTATCTTTTGATTTAAAACCCCCAGCCTTCTCGTTCTTCTCTATCCTTGCATCTAGATTTTTCACAAGACGATTTAGCACTGTAGAGAACGGAGAATCCATTAGTGATACAGTACAGCACTCACAGCAAATACAACTAACCTACCTTCCGATCTCCAGGGAAGTTTATGCTGCCTGACTTGCTCCTCTCCATCACTTTCCTCTGTCATGTATTCGAAATCAATTGCCGTCCATCGCTCTCGCTCTTTCTCCTTTTTCAATACCCGCTTCCTCCTTTCATAAAGCTACGATAAAGAATTAATATATAACTAAAAGGGAGGATACAACACACAATCTTATACCAGCTTTCTGCGTGTCTTGTTCCTCGACTTCTTTCTAGTCTCTCTCGCAATATGAAGCCTTCCAGGTTGAATATCATTAAAAAGGCGGCGCCTGCTTTCATAGTAGCGATGGACAGCTCCTGGTGAAATTATGGCAAAAAAACACGTGTAATCCCACACATGTACAAAAGTTTAATTATTATGGCAAACACTCTCCCTGCCTAAAGATGAGACATCTTGATGACCAAAGAGTCACACGTACACATGCACACACATACACATGTACACATCACGTACACAAGACACAGACTCTCCCTGCCGATGAGACATCTTGACGACCAAAGAGTCACACGTACACATGCACACACATACATGTACACATCACGTACACAAGACACAGACTCTCCCTGCCGATGAGACATCTTGACGACCAAAGAGTCACACGTACACATGCACACACATACATGTACATGTACACATCACGTACACAAGACACAGACTCTCCCTGCCTAAAGATGAGACATCTTGACGACCAAAGAGTCACATGTAAACATACACACACACAAAACAGATCATTACTTCGCAATTTTCTTGGAGAATGAGCACTTGAAAACTTTTCTTTTATGCCATCAAGGAGAAATGTCTTCACAACTTGATTCCTCTCACATGAATACCTGTTTGTTACACAGCTTTAGACTAGACAATCGTACTTTCTATGAACCTACTGTTTTGAGCCATCGAACTGCATCTCATCAGGAGCTTTGTCGTGTAGTGCCTTGACCGCAACCTACACAGGAGATTGTGCAAGGCCATACTGCATACACGGCACATGCTTACTGATAGAGAAGGTGGGATTCTTTGCTTGACTGGGAGAGTATACTTCCATGTTTCAAAGTTGTGACTGTTTCCTTTAGCTCCTTTAGCTCGGCACTTAGTACAACCAGCTGCTCCCTTTGATTAATTCCTGTTAAAAATATTCTCCCAAAACCATTTTATGAACAACATAGGTCTAACCTTCTTGTTTGGTTTCTGCAAGCAGCTGGCTCTGGCCCGAAAAGGCGGCTAGAACTTGATCTAGCTTTGCACTGATACCGGCTATTTCGGAGCCCGCACTAGAGATTGAGGAGGGGCTGCTTCCATGAAATACATTTCCTTGGCCAAGGGGAGTGGAAGGCGGAGAGTCAAGCCGAGAAGTAAGGGACAAGCCGCGACTGCTCCCGACTGCATTGCGCTGCCGGCCGCTTTGTAGGTCACGCGGATATCGGCGCGCATGCGCAAAAGGGGGGGAGCGCTAGACGGCACGAGGGGCCCTGAGCTGTAGCTGTCTGAGCGCAGCGAAGACGCTACTAAGGGCTCCGAGGCCGTCTAAATCGTGTATTTTCCATTGACAAGCAGTATAACCTGTTTAGACGGAGGACGTGCCGGCCTTCAAAATCGTCCAGGTCCGCCGTCTTCCGAAAGACTCGCTCTTGCCGGGGGAAGCTAAAAATGTCTTCAGTTTAGTTTCTTTTTGCATCGTAGAGAGGCCTTTCATCGAAGAAGCATCGGATATAGCGAGTTTGAAGTCGTCTCGGCGAGCTCTCAACGACAGAGCGAGTTTCTTTGCGCGGAATCTTGCCACACCCCCATCGAAGACGCCATTTTTGGCGGGCGTCTCCATGGAAACACGCACTTGGAAAATACGGGATTTAGAATCCACGTTTTACGCAATCTGATTGGTCAATTTGAATCTGCCGACGTATAAATATGGAATGGCTGGATGAGCTTCAAAATATCATATATAGCACAAAACCTTTGCATCATACAAGTTATTCTAGTTAGTTATTCTAGTAAGTTTTTGAAAATATCCATTCCTTCCTGGGCATGCGGACGGTGATAATATCTAGGGGACACACCGCTCTGCAAAATTTACAAATATTCTTCTTTTCTGGGGATGTATAAGATTAATGACTCCTTGGTTGGAAACACGAAACAAAAGTTTTCCAAATGAATAGATATCACTAAATTTACTTTGCTTGGTTTCACCTTCCACAACTTCAGGGGCAATATGAGGAAAATTTCGAACATACTCAATCTTTTCAATTCCAGTGAGATGGTAGCGCTTGCTCTCTACAATACTTGTAGCTTTCCCAAAGTCTATTAGAACCACTTGGTAATGGAACTGGTCTCCATTTGACTGGGCAACTAAGACATTGTTTGGCTTTATATCATTATGCAAAATATTAGCTTCCTCGTGAAGATATTTGATGGCTTCCAACAGCTGAGCACAAAGATGAACCCAAATATGACACTTTAGATGATAGTCTCGCAGCTCATGCTCTAAAGTAACAGATTCTAGCTCCTTGAAAGCATGAAATTGAAGGACTAGACATAATGGAAGTTGCTTTGTGCACATCCCAATTAGGAGTGGGAGGTAGGGGTGGCATATTCTGTTAAGAATCAAGGCCTCGTGTGGTAACGTCAGTTTTTAGTGATCTAGGAAGAAACTCCTTAACGGCAACAAGAATACCACGAAGCATTTGTGCCCTGACAATTCCAAAACTCCCACGCCCAACATATCGCACCTGCTCTTTGCCATCAATGACAGGATCATGCAACATGGCTATAGCTCTATCTGATCGTTCACGCGAAACGAGCGTTATAGTATTGTGAAGTTCAACAAACAAAGAAAGACATAGGGTGGTGTGATTATAAAAAAGAACACTTTCATAGAGTATATTTAAAAAGAACAGGTGATGCAATAAAGACAGTTTCTGAATAATTATTAAATTTTACAATTTTTATGATCGAAGCACATCGACAGAACAAGCGCAAAACAGGAATGAACGAACAAGCGCTCGGAGACTCGAATGAATTGGTACACATAACTGACTACCATACCAATCATGCTGCTCATGTAGCTGCTTCCAGTGTACATACATATGCAAATATATGATCTTGAGGTGATTCATTGTCTAAGTACACCTGATGCTGAAAGAAAAACTGAACAACCCCCACTCGCTTACAGCTGTAATCTATGTTATCAAGCCTATCACCTCTGTTGCACCAAAATGCCATAACCACAGACGAAGAACGACTGTTTGCACCAGGTAATGTAGAACCGATCAAATCATCAGCGAGTGTAATTTTGCCAAACTTGCAGTAGAACTGGGAGCATTTTTATGCTTGAACAGTTTGAATATAATTGTTTATAAATGGTGAGTATTTGCTCTGACATTTCAGTTGTAAAAACTTCATCCATAAATGGAGGATGTCTCCTCTTCATAAGCAAATGATTCAACTGTGCTTAGTCTGTTGATAGCAAATGGTAACAACTTTAACGAATTTGAATTTTCGACAATGTAATTCTTGTAAATTTCTGGAAGAATAGACTGTAATTCACCAACACTAGGTAAATTCAAATCATGCACTGCTTGGCTTTGACTAAACTTTCGCATGATTTGAGGCTCAATCGACCGTTTGTTTGTGTGAAAGGACCCAAGTATGCCATTAAATCTTTCAAATGCGAAACACCATGATGCATGGGCAGGACCAAAATCCAGAATCGTTTGTTTCAGATGCAGATGTAGATGCATATTGAAAGTACAACAGTCATTACCATGAAGCATGTGAAATTCCTGGCAAAACTGCAACAACAGAAGGTCAGCTGTTACTAAATCAGGCTCTCTAACACAGTATGATAACAAAATAGAGCAGCTTCGAACAAACAACAGCCAACATCGATAGTTTTGAGGTGGCAAAATATCTTTCAACAAAACAGCAGAATAAACGTTTACCCAAATTTTCCACTGATTAGCAGTAAAGGCACCATAGCATGAAGATGGAACAGTAAAATGGTTTAAACACTCCTCGAGTTTCCTAAGTCCTTGTTTTGTTAGTACATCACTTTGAACCCAAACATCTAATGCATGTTTAGCAGTCCCCAATAAAAGGTTATGCATTGTATCTATTGCTGTAAATCTTACTGGATCATAATATGGCAAAGACATTAAAACTGAGTAACGAACGCCAAACTTTGATTCTGCAGCTTGTAATCCTGTCTTGGTATGCTCCATCCGAGACTTTTTCAAGGCCACTTTTGTGTTGTTCCTTTGAACGAAGCTGCCAGCTATCTCTGTTGTATCCTGAAAAGTTTGAGCGCTGGCCGAATTTCACTTCAAACTTTTTAAGGCACTTATTACAGCCTAGAGCTGCATTATGACTTACGAAACCACAAACTTTTCTGCTGGCTGGGATGTCACAAGTTACACATGAAACACATAATTTAATGTGCACTGTTTGATTATTTGGAGTTAGGAAACTAAATCCATGTCTCCATGCCTCCTGCAGCTCCAATACAAGTGGAGTTAGATATGAATTAATAGTTTTCTTCGGCTCCTTGTATTACTCCAACCAAAATTATATTATGAGGCTTGTATCGCTCATGACGGGGAAGGTTTTGAATTGTGAGATAAATGGCACCAACACTATAAACTCCCCTTTCGAAGGGCTCAAAACAGTCAACATTAAGGCTAAGAAGAAAACAGTGAGGAGAAGAAAGAAAATCACAAAAAGCGTTCGATTCAAACATTTGCCACACTTTTCCATCGTATATATCACATAAAAACCCTTGTGGAGGAGTTCGTATCCTCCATTGCTCACAAATAGCAAGAAACTCTCCCTCTTGACAAACTTTCCGAAAGACTCCTTTAATGACATTATAAGGATACACTTTTATTGGTACTAAACTACTTCCATGCTTACGCCTCACTTGTTTCAGTAACTTTGCACCACAGGGGTTTCTGTGTGAAGCTTGTGGGTGGTTTGGAAAATCAATGTGTGAACAATCCTTTGCTTGCTGCAGGCCATTATTGTCCATATCAATACAATCCTGAAATTCATATACTGAGTCACACTTCGGACAAACAACAAAGTTGACAAAGTGATCGTTTTCAAGAGAAATCAGTTTATGAACTGTTGACAGTGTCAGTGGTACAGAATGGGCAATATCCATAATTGCATCACAACTAAAGGCTCTGCCAATTGACAGGATAAAATACCGCATAAAACGCAGTAAAGCTGTTATAGCAGAATTTGATATCTTGAATGCGAACTGCCACATAGTTAAAAACATTAGAAGGACCTTGAGATGATTAAGATATTCCGAACTTCTCTCAGAGGACAACTGGTCATCACTCTCCGAGGATAAATAATCATCAATGACTGTATTCTCCTGCATTTGACACAAATTATATTTTACATGGTGAGACAGCACTTCTAAACTAACCAGTGGTGGTTGAGCTAAATCGTCAGTTTCAGAGCTGCTCTGGTCCGAATCTAATGTTCACTTGCATCATGCATTGCCGGGAAGTCCTCCAAGTCATCTTCGGAGCTGCTCACGTCCGCTTTCGATGCCGCAACGTCCAGACGCCATTCTTTCTTGGTACGATAAAAAAACTGCCTCCGGTGGCGATAATACGCCGATTTAGAAAGATAATCCTTACAATGAGGACAGTAGATACGACGTCCGCCTGATTCGAACAACATAGCCGGCCGCCACCACCGCGGTATAATACCGTGGCGGACTTGTACTACGTTTCAACAACGTCGGCGGGGTCCAATTTCAAGCTGTCTTATTTGTTTTGCACCCAGAGACCGGATGGAGGCACTGTAGAGAGACAGGCAGTATATATGACTTGATTAAAAAGGTCTTCACAAAAGGATCCACATGAAGAAATGTACATAAAACCAAGTTAGCTTTACGAATCAAACTCAAGCTTCAGAATCATCCAGGGTGCTAGTGAGGATATGACCCAAGTGCGTGACTTTACTGGAGTACTGAAGAGCAACATTATTGAACATTATAGTCGCAGATTGAGGATGTATAGATGGAAGATGAAAACAAAATAGCTGTGTTATACATTGAATTCCAGTTTCCTCTTTGTGGCATATGAGTTGCAGATCATGTCTAACATAATCCGTAGGGCTGACGCACAAGGTGCTAACAACACAATGTCGTCTGCACCAGCAAAAACAGAACCCCAAAAACAGCCAACATCACTCCTCATTGTATGTTACTCACTCCAGTTATTACAGCTGAGTCAACTCCCGCTTTCTTAGTTGAGAGTGATGTTCCTACCCCATCTCCCTCTCCTCCTTCCTCTCCCTCTCCACCACCATCGGAAGAGGAGGTTTCAACAGCTTGCCCCTCACCTAGTCCTGTAGTTGGTGAGTCTCCACACATGCAGTAGCAATTAATACTAACAGTTTCTGAATCTACACTTATATACCACGTTGGTTCTACTCTTTCTTTGCACTTCTGACAAAAATATAGGGCACTTTAAGCGGGATTTAGTTTTGACTTTGGTATGTATCTGTTTTGAGGGTAGAAACCACTTAAACTATACATTCACCAACAGTAGCCCCACTGTGCTGTCTGCCAGCTAGCTTCCCTCCAGTACTGTTTCCTAGAGATTGTTACTAGTAAGTTGTCACTAGTTTTTCCTGATTGTCTGGTAGAGTACTGGTAGAGTTCTGGTGTGGCTGCATTCCCTCCGTTAGTAAGGAGTGTCGGGTTTTGAGTCAGAGTCTTTCATGTGGTCCCGGGTGTTGGGGGCTCAGATGTACGCTACATCATGTGACGGGTGGGCCAATTCCTCTCTCACACACACTGTGTATGCTGGGACCCATGAGGTGGGGTTGGTCTTCTACCACTACCTATTAGTTTAGGTAGAGGTCTCTACTATAGCAGTCAATGGAGCGTAGCTAGTGTGTACTGGCTCAGCTGGGTGATCTTCATAACCATTTAGTCACACCTGCTTAACCTGGCATGTATACAACCTCTCTTCTCTACTGGGACGGTGGCATTACCTTTCTTAGTACGCTCCAGCAAATAGACATTTCCAGGAACTAAAACCGGGTGGAAAAGTACTGAATCTCAGAGGTCTTAGAGTGTTGGCTGCTGTACAAAGCATTCCTTCATCTTCAGTTAAAACACACACGCACTCTCTCTCTGAGATGTTTGCCAGCAAGCGTAAGTTTGTGGACCCACTGCATGTGAGGTTGATCGTGGCAAAACTTCCTGTCTGTTCCACTGGGACAACAGAATTTGCATAGTTGATTGGTTAAAAAATGCTGCCATCCTTCACTCCTACTGTTCATCAGCCTCATAGGGAAGATATGGGTAGGCTGGGGCCTCACGAGACACATAGTGACAGACTCTCTCATCATTTTTGGTACATACGCTTCCTTATCCTTCATTGTGTATGAATTTAGAGTTGCTGTATGTGTGATCGTCTGACAACTAACCCCTGCCACACTCTGTCTGTGCACCAAATTCGGCCAACTGTGAAGTAATTGACATCATTCATGGTCATGAGGTTTGATGCATGAACTGTGCCACATGCATCGTATCCTAGTGTGGCACAACTCCCAGCAGCATTGGCAGACTTGTGGCTTCCGGCATTAATTCCGTGGATGGCTGTGTTAGGAAGTGTTATTATTAATTCTGTGCTCCGCTGTCACAATTGTGACTACTGATAAACCTTTTCTCTGAGCCCTGATTGAGAACATCTCTCTCCCCTCCCACCTCCCCCTCCCCAGTCACAACCACAGAGATCAGTGTGTCCACCTCAGTCAGGAGCGAGACTGTCACCTCAACCAGAACAGTCACAGAAACACCTCAACCTTCAGAATGCCCTGATTTCTCTGGTCAGCTCTGACTCTTTTAATCTCTCTCTTGGTTATTAAAGCAAACCCTGATATTGAAGATCAGCGAGAACTGATTTACTTGATACACTTGCCATCATACTGTATCACATGATTATTCCCCTTTTACTTGCCTCTCTCCCTCTATCTTTTTCATACAGGGATGAGGTCAGATGCACAAGAGTCCAATTTATCACTAAGTAGACTACGAATATCTGTGACTAGTCTTCTGCTCTGTCTGTCAGTACTAGCTGTGCTATTATAGCCCATGCCCCGTCCAGCTACACACACTGAACTGCCAGCATTACTTGGTGAGTAGGTGATGCCCACTTACTTGGTATGAATAACAAATCCTGTTTGTTTAGCCGCCATTGCGGCCCTCAATATGGAATAACAGGCATGCCTTAGATCTTCCGACGAAATAATGTTTATTCCAACTCAACAACTACTTGAGGGGTGTCTGTATATTGATGAAAGGTGTGTACGTGTGACGATCACAATCATCCCTGCAAGAAATGCTCTTTTTATATGTTCTCGTTTTATATGTTGTTAATATTATTGCAATGTTATCTCCGCACCAGTATAATGTCTTTGGACAATAAACTTGGCTGAAATTCACACACCATCGCCCACGCGCGGGCGCATGTGCAAAGACGTGTCACGCGCTCACGAATGATGACGTACGTAGTAATGAGTACTGGATTGCAGAAAAGAAAGTACCGTGCATTGCTCTGTTTATGAAACACTCCAAAGTCCAGGGACTCACCAATGACTTGTTACTATACAACATAAACATCTACTGCCGGCAGCTATACAATCTATGTGAAAACAATCCTCAGTCTCTTTCAGAGTTTCGTGGAAAAGGTCCAAGTTTGTTCAACAGAAGGTGTGAAAGCAAAACACACCATCTTCATTCCCCGGCTGGTGAGGCCCCCCACTGGGTGCCCTGACCACTAGCTCGGGAGCGAGGCATGACTGTCACCGTCCCAGCTGGGTTCATGACAGTGTAGCAGTCCTCAGATGAGCCGACTGAGAGGGCACCAGAGGAGGAGGAAGAGGGGAGGGCCAGCTGATTCTCCTTCTTATTCTCACTTGGGATCATTTTGCTTGGAGGGTTGGGTGATGGAGACACCATTGACACCATCTCCTTTGTGGCCTTGGAGTTTGGCGGGAGCTGGAGGGAGGTGATCGTACCTGGCAGAGGGTAGGGGTGGAGCGACGTCGCAGTAGGTGGCTCCCTCGTTTTGCTTGTCTCTGAGGAGGTCTGGCAGCTCCTCATACACATCGTCGCTTGCAGTCTCGTAGATGGGGTTCCTCACATTCAGTCGTGCAGTTTTGCCTTCAAAAATAGCAGCACACAATGAAAAAACACTGAAACTTCATTAAATATACTAACCTTGCCTTCTCTTTGTCCGGGCTCGAAGGTAACAGACACCCACACCAAATGCAAAGCACACACTGACTGCTGCCAGGAGACCTATTCCTGTTCCTATCACTACTGGTGACATAGTCTCCCGCCTTGGCTCCAAATGAGCAATCCCTGGTGGCAGTGACTGAGTGGTAGCAGTGGGGTTAATGGCAGTGGGGTTAGTGGCAGTGGGGTTAGTGGCAGTGGGTTGAACGTTAGGACTATGTGTATGATCTGAAATGTCAGTAGAAGGATAGACATCGTCCTCATAGAAGAAAACTGAAAAGTAAACTCTTGTAATGAGCGAAACAGTGAATGTTAATTAGGCCTCACTAAAGTCATCGGACGAGGTGATGTTGTCATAATCGGGTATCACGATGGTAACTGTGAGTGTGTAGTTTTTATTCCTCACAAATCCAGTCTCAGTGTCCTCCTTGACCTCTCTCTGGGTGTCAGAGATGGTCACAGGGGTCTCTGGACCATGTCTCATTGCCACTGGTGAAACTCATGACATAGCTGGCTCTCTGGAACACACACAGCCTTGGGGGCTACAGCAATAATATACCACACTTAGCAATGTCAGATATTGCATTATTGTTCTTACTGTGAATGCAACTTCCAATTCCTTAATCTTTCCATCAATCATAAAAGTGTGTGCTGTCAAGTTCTTCTGGAATGCCTTTGGACCTGAAACGAGTAAATGAACTACCACACAAACACACAGTTAGCTAGTGACTCACGTGCTGGGATCACGATGAGGTTGCTAATAATCTCATCACTGTTGAATATCTGAACTGATACATTCACTTTCTTACAGACGTTGTCATCCATTCTGAACTCAACCACTGGTGTGTCATCTTCAGGAACTACAATTATTTCATTCCCCACATCCTCCCCTGTGTCTACTAGCACTTTCTTGATCACATAGGCAAAGTAGCTACTCAGAGTGTTAGTGGGGTTGCCCCAGCTAATTATGAGACTAACAAAGTCATTGGAAACTGAAAATACCAGCGAGCTCTCATCCAGTTGTGCTATATGCAATAAACATGTTGACAATACTTTTGGGTTTTTCAGCATACAGTATGGGTATGTACCTTCTGCAAGCTGTGACAGTGTACCTATGAAAAGTTTTTTAGTTAGTAAGCGTTAGTGTACAAAAAAGGGTCTAACTGAAAGTAGTTGTGGAGGAAGTATTCCCTTGTTGAGTCATGACAGTGGCAGTGACTGTGTACTCCTGGTCCCTGGCGAACACCTCTCCTCTGTCAGAGAAGACCACCTCACTACTCACAGCCAGTGGACCCACACTCCAGCTCCCGGTCCCCATCAGAAATAATGAGCAGGTAGCCTGCTGACTCAATCTGGTACTCACACAATGCTGGCGGCTTAAGGGGGTAGAGCTAAACTTATGTAGAACCGAGATAATATGTGAACACTTACCTTGAATTTGAGTTCAACTAGCCCCAAGTCTCCTCCACTTGAAAAGAGAACCTCTGCTTCAAGTTCAGAGAGAAAACCTCCTGGAACTGTAGACTAGCAACTAACACCAACACAACACACTTTTTTATTAAAACACTTACAAATTGGTATGGTGGTTGTGACAATCTCTTCCCGGCAGTCTCCCAGCTGGACCAGTGTCAGCATCACCTCCCCACAGTCCTCCACTTCAGTCAGATTGAACTCTTCTCGTGGGGACACTGAGGCCTCCAGAGTCACTAGACGCTCCTTCACCATAGTCTCACCATCAAACACCATAATGACATAGGTGAAATTGTCCTCCTCGAATATATCCTCCGGCTGTTCCCATGTCAGCATGAGACTCTTGTTCTTCAATACTTCAATGTGAACATTCTCAGGTTTAGGATAAGGAGGATCTGTGGCATTGCATTGAAGGTGAAAACATTGTGTAAATAGCTATAGCTAGATTGTTTTGCTCACCAAGTAGGAGAGAACCATTGAGAGTGGCAGGAGTACAGGTCCCGGGCATAGAGACTGAAACTTGGAACGGCTGACAATCGCTGCCCTCCAATCCTACCTCCCATGAAGATGCATTCGTTGTCCATGTCATTATCTCTTGACCAACTGTCACAACCACCTCGTAGGTGGTATTGCCAATAAGAAAGGGGTCTTCCCACTTTAGGAAGAGTGAGGTTTTTGTCCCTGGAGCAGCTGTAAGGATCAGGGGCACTCGAGTATCACTCTCTTCTGCAATACAAGGGATATAATTATAGCATATTGATGGTTTGGTGGCCTACCAACTGTGATGAGTGATGCATCGATATAGTTATATCCTTGTATGCAAGTAATATATTCTACTCCACTTCCACTAGCGGAGGAGTTCCCAGTGTCCATGGTAGCATTCAGAGTCAGTGTATCCATCTCATCGTTATACGAGTGATGACCAATGTACCAGATGTTGGCACCGGTACAGTGGAACTCCACCTGAGTCCCCTCCACTGCACACATACTCAGCATCTCCCCTAATAGTTAAAATTGTAGTAAAGAATGTTGCTACTGTCTATGCTATTACCTGTACCAGAGCTGCTGGCACTAATCATACTGACCAGGGCACACAGAATTATATGCCTGCATTGAAATAGGCACACATTTATTGCGAATATCACAAGAAGAAGATACTCACTTCAGCACCATTCTCGCCGATTTGTCGCAATCGACCAGTAAAGAGTGGCCTGACGCGCGCGCGTTAGTGATAGCCCCTTCGCGCTCACGTGTGAAACTGCGTAAGAACTCGCGTGCCTGCGCGCCAGGTGTCGTACCCCTTTTTCCGTTTGCTGGTACTGAAACTGCTGTAGCTAATACACTTGATCTGGTTAGGTAATTTTTTTCAGACAGGTTTTATTATTAGTAGCTACCAACAGAAAACATTGAATCGCTCCGACTGTACTCAGAGAAGAGGGAGAGCGGGGGAGAAAGTCGTTGGCTGTTGCCATTCACATGCATGCGCAAAATAATCCTCTGATGCTCGCGTTGTTTTTTTCTGTCGCGGGTAGCTGGCCGCGACAAGAAAGCGTTAATACACGTGTCACGGCATACATTTATGTGGAAATAGCGGTTCATTGGCAGCTAGGATTCCCCAGGGTTAACTTTATTTATAGCTAGACACGTAAGATACCGTACTGATGGGGGAAATAAGGCTTTGTCAGGTTGGCTTGACAACATCAAAACAGCAGTCATGAATAATATTAGAAAGCACCACTTCAGTGATCAAAGTGTACTATATATAAAATCTACACATTCCCCTTCTTAGGTGTCACGTCAATGTTTAGTGCTGAAGGGACAGTATTACTATTACCTGTACCAACAAGAATGCAGCGACCATGGGAGTTTTCATAACAAATCATGAAACATTGTCAGTTGCTATTGGTATAAAAGGAGCACAGCTCTCAGACGCTAATCAAACTGAAATATAAGAGGAAAGAAAGCAACCGAGAGAAATCAGCAGAAACTCAAGACTCAAAAAATAACCTCAAAAATGAAGGGGACTCTGCTGGCAGCTCTGACACTGGCCACCATCATCTCAGGGACACTGGGTATGACTACATTTACACTTTTTCATGTCTCAGTCATCATGACAGTGTTATCCACTGCTGCAGGTGTTCTCAGTAAGCATCCTGAAACCCAGACTGTTGCAGAGGGCTCCACCGCAACCTTCACATGTGAACTGAAAAACTGTCCAGTCTGCTTTGTGCATTGGACGGCAATTGACACAGAGACTGGTCTCAATGTCAGTGTAAATCGACATGTTGTGGCTGAAAACAACCATATCACCAGCACAATCAGCATTCTCGCAGTCAATAACACAGTGGTCCAGTGTGTGGAGAACAACCGCCTTGCTAGGCCAAAGAGGGAAAGACTTCACTATAGCACATTGGCACTACTACTCGTGGAGAAAGAAGGTACGGACGGATGAGAATATTATTTCTCAGCATTATGATTCACTTTTTTCTCGCCACAGGATCTGGAGCAGAGTACAGATAGTGCAGCATTCACAATCATGTATTATGCAATGCCTTGTACAATCAATATCATAATAATATTTAACAAAATCAATGATCAAACAAAGCAAAAGAGTTGCATTATCGTCTAATGAGTTAACAAGTTACAATGAATGCAGAGGGCACAAGATTAACTTGTCAACATGAGTAGCAGTACAAAGCACACGGTCTAACTTACATTTTGTCATTGACTGTGATCAATGATATTCATTACATTACATCAACATTACTAACGCATCAATGAATCGCACTAGACATATAGTGGGAGAAAATGGTCCATGAAAAAGAGGACTCCCAGGGTTTTTACCTTACAGAAACAGTTACAGAGCTACCACGTAGTTTTTATTCATTGCAGAAAACACGTTGACCGGATCACAGCAGAGCATAATGGAGTTTGTTAGTTGTTGTGATTACACACTTTTTATTCATCAAAACCTGCTAATATTTATAGTCTACTAGATTTACGGTATATCCCACCAGATTTCCTATTATTAGCTATAACGTCAGTGTTTAATGGTTAGGGGATGAACGTGTGCGGCAAGAATGTGCTCGAGTTGTTAGTTTTCATAACAAACCCATTGAAAACTGTTAGCTATAAAAGACGCACCACTTTTAGCAGAAGCCAACCAAGGAGAAAGAGGAAAGAAAGCAACCAAAAAATCAGCGAGAACTCAAGACTCAAAAATAACCTCAAAAATGAAGGGGACTCTGCTGGCAGCTCTGACACTGGCCACCATCATCTCAGGGACACTGGGTATGACTACATTTACACCTCTTCATGTGTCAGTCATGACAGTGATTTATCCACTGCTACAGGTGTTCTCAGTAAGCATCCTGAAACCCAGACTGTTGCAGAGGGCTCCACCGCAACCTTCACATGTGAACTAAGAAACTGTTCAGTCTGCTTTGTGCATTGGACGGCAATTGACACAGAGACTGGTCTCCATGTCAGTGTAAATCCACAAGTTGTGACTGAAGACAACTGTATCACCAGCACAATCAGCATTCTCGCAGTCAATAACACAGTCGTCCAGTGTGAAGAATACAACCGTTTTGCTAGGCCAAAGAGAGAAAGACGTCACTATAGCATGGTTGCACTGCTCCGTGTAACTGAGGAACAAGGTAGGTATTTAGCTATGTAGAATAGGGACTGGGAAATCAAATTTCTTTTTCTTTCACCACAGGATCCGGGGCACAGATTCCAAGCACAGATAGTGGAGCATATTGAATACGAACCCTTCAACAATCAATATCATAATGTTTATATGAATATTCATGTTTGGTAAAACCTAATGAGAAATTTGCCCATGTTGCGTTGCATATGCGCGTGTTAGAGATGTGGGTGGGGCTACACTTACATGCATCTTGTATATACTTCTGCAGACGCATAATACTAAAGGCACCTTAATACAATAGAGATTGAAACTGACTTCTATGTTAAATATGTGCATATGTCATTTGTGATACACACCCCTCGCAAGACGTTAAGTCAGTTCATTCACAAGGGGAGTTTGTGGTATTGTAAGGGGATTTCCATTAGCTTGTTTTCAATGGCAATGTGTTTCATTCCATTTGTTCATGTCATTCACTCAAAGAGAAAACAGGGACGCTGCCCAGACACAGACAACAGAACGGTAACTTCCCTGCTTACTCTACTATGATGTAAAGTCTGCCAAGTAGATAGGTGCTTGCTTGAACTGTATAACACATAGTCAAAATGTTGATACGCTATGCTGAGCAAGCAGCAGTACATAGAGCTGTGATGCATGAGGCCCACGTCCCTGGGGGACCCCCTGCAGCATTATGTAGAAGTATAGACGGGGGAATATGGTTGAGTCATGGTCAACCTGCTCTGTAGTCAAAATCATGGGATATGAATAGGCTTAGCCTATATCCCTTGCATATGGATCAAAGGTTACCAGACTATAGCTATGAAATTTGGGAAACTCCACGAATGAGGTGCTAAGAAAAGTACCTAACGCAATAGGAATGTATTATGTATTAGCCCTAGCCCCTATAAAAGGCTCCGCTGCTACAGGGCTAATCACAAGAGATCAGCTCAACCAGAAAAACTCACATCCGATACAGAAAGAATGAACTCAACAATCTCATCAGTTGTGCTCCTCCTGAGCATCGCGACAGGAGCACTAGGTACGTATCACTACCTGCTTTTTGTAGATGCAGCATTTGAGTAGTGTCATCTGCAGGTGTATTCATAGAGCATCCACAGACACAGACTGCTGTGGAAGGATCTATTACTGACTTCAACTGTACAGTGAAGGCATGCTCAGGCTGCATAGTGATTTGGAAGATTCAGAGATTTGAGATTGGCGCTGAAGTCTACCAACCACACAGCACCGTCCCAAAATATGTCGGACACGGCCTCATGCTCAGTACACTGCATCTGGTAGCAGTCCACAGCTCTGCAGTTCAGTGTGAGAGGTACAATCGATATACGAGAAAGAGCCATTTCAGCGAGTTTGCCTTTCTTCACGTCATTACATCCCAAGGTATGTGTGTTGTAAGAGAAGTTAATAACAAGTATTTAAAAGGATATTTCTCACCACAGACTCTCTCTCAGGATCAGGAGAATCACAGCCAGTTGCAAATTCTGACTAATATGAACACTGTTCAACCATTAACCATAATTATTATCCCATTTCATATTATTATGTACAATCACTTATTATTATGGTAATGAATAGGGACAGTGATATATATGGGGAATAGAACAGCAGGATAAGCCGCGGACATACTGTAGACAATATTTTTGACTCAGATATTCATTATGCATTACATCGTGTGAATTTGTATATATAGCAGCGATAGTTATTAGTGATGTCATACAAAAACAGGCAGAGTATAGAGTAAACTGTTTAGCACTAGTCATAATATTGCATTCCTAACTGACAACATCACTGAAAGTAGCTCTCTTCTCAACTGTTGGCAATGCTGTGAAGACGTTGGTATACATGAATAATTATTGGTCAGTCCCCGGTAATTTCTTTCATTATTGTAAAACCCTTGTTTGTCTGTTAGCATCGAATGACCTTATACTGAAAGACATACGTAGCCACATAAATATTCATAACAACTATTATTATTCTATAAAAAGAAATGAAAAGTTTTTAGTGACACACCAAAACCATCCGACAAGCAGACTGCTCAAAGACTCAGTAGTCCAGAAGAGCTGAATAAAACATGTACTCAACTCTATCAACAATTGTGATCCTTGCCACTGTCTTAGCTGGGGCATTTGGTAAGTTGATAATAATTATTTCTTGCTTCGTTTCTAAAGACATGTAATACCACAGGCATAATCAAAACACACCCACAATCACAAAATACCACGGAGGGCTCAACAGCAACATTCACATGCAAAATACGAGACTGTGACCACTGCAGTGTGATCTGGAGAGTTCACAACCTGGAGACATTTGAGCGTTTCAACCCAAGAGCAGAAGATTTTCAGAATGATGATCATGGTAATGGTCGAACCACTAGCACACTGAGTATCACCGCGGACAGCAGCTCTGTGGTCCAGTGTGTAGAGCATAACCCCAGCGCCACGAGAAGGATCGAGAAAAACAGCTACAGTCAATATGCTCTCCTCCGGGTGCTCAAAAGCGAAGGTAAAGTTAATGTTTCTTAATTGGATATACATGCTAATGATTTATTGGTCTGTGATACAGGGTCTGGGGAGTCGCAGATCTGAGCATTTGTACAGGATCAGCAAACATTTATATTTGTGTTCATATGGTGTTAAAGTTTTTGAACAGTATATACTCACAGCAGAAGTATTGTGCATGCACGACGAGAAACACATACACCCACGCACATGCGAGGTGACACCCATATAGAGATCAAGGCATAGGTCCAACCCTGAAAGTCATTGATCTACTTATTTCACCAGGAGCATATGTGCTCGTGATTTCGCTGAAGTGTGTCTCTCTGGAGTAGGTCGGTAAAATACAATGCAGGAAAAACATACAATCATCTCAGGTTTTTGCACACAGCTACATGCTACACACACGTCTGGCTAATAATACAATCATCTCAGGTTTTTGCACACAGCTACATGCTACACACACGTCTGGCTAATAATACAATCAACACCGTATATATATACTGTTCTTGTAATTGTTTATGATGCTGAGTTTAAAAATGATGAGTTGGGTTCACAGAGTCCCTGCCATGGGCCAGCCGGCTGTGAGGCTCCCCGCACTGTGTCGGTGGTTGCGAGGAAGGACTGTCAGAGTCCCGGCAGGGCTCATGACTGTATAGCAGTCCTCAGTATCCTCCCCAGGGCAGCTGGAGGCCAGGGACCTGGCATCCGGAGCTCCCCCAGTCTCCCCCCACTGTGCCTCATCGCTTCTTTCTCGCTCTCTGCCAGGCAAACCTGAATGGGAGGAAAATTGGGACCTTTTGGTCTAGGTCTATTGCCAGTGTCAATCAGTGTGGGAGGTGAACCCTATTACATATTAGTCGATGTGAGTGTTTCTGGAAGGAGAAGATGGTTGATGGTAAACAGTGACCAGCGACCATTGACCATTGCGGACTCTGCTGTCTCTGTTAGAATATGAAACCAGAGCTTTGGGATGCTTCTCTGAGAGTGACTGAGAGTAAGCGAATTTAGAGTCGGAGATTTTCTACTCTAGGGATAGGAGTCTTGTGTTGAATTCCTGCCCTAACAGCACTCTTGATCTCTTGGCATTTGGTCAGCTACCCACCGCAGCGTGTTGTGTAACATGTGGCTCACAGAGAGACGGGTTGCTACCTACCGACACAACCGTCTTCGTCGAAAAGCAGACACGCCCATATGTCAGATTCCAAGCTTCGCACCGGTCTCGTGCACACAGATTGGGCGGTATTGGGAGAAGTAACATGTTGTGCAGCTGGTCTCCATGCTGCCTGTTGGGAGCAGCGTTGCGATTACCGTTCTCATCGAGATTGGGAGGTGGATTGGTCTGCACATTTCTCCGATTATGGTTGCTGCGAGATAGAGCAAAGTGATTGAGATACTGGTTGAGCGTATTGCTGCTGATGTTGGTTGTTGTCGTATATACTCTGGATGCTGGAGGCGACAAGCGTAGGGTTTCAGTAGATGGTAATAGGAGGGTTGCATCGAACACTGCCACTCGCTTGGTGTTAAATACAATGGCAACCTGGGGGGGCAGTGATACAGGGCTTGGTAATGTTGTAGGTGGCAGGGGGAGAGCAAGCTGGTTGAGGGGGGAGGTTGAGGCTGGTAGATCTGGGAGGTTGGTGTGCAGGTAGGGGAGGGTGAGGAGCAATGAGTTGTTGTACCGGAGGAGGTTGGTAATAGAGAGCTTATCACATTTGGAAGAGGCGAGGAGCTGTTGGTAGATACAGGACTGGGGTCTGTGCACAGGGTGTCTCCTATTCTGTCCTTGAGTGCTTGGTCGCTGCTAATGGGCCTCATCTGTGACAGAGAAACCGAGACTGTTTAGTTCTGCATAGTGTGAGTCTAGCACACTGGATGTGCGATAATTAATTGCACACACTCAACTGTAGATTTCCCACTTGTATTCCTAACCCCACAGACACAGACGGTGAAGTTGTGCAGACGTGGCTGCAGGGAGAAGGGGCTGTTGCACGGCTAGGAGAGCGGGGTTAGTATATAGTGCCTGGATACGGAGGTGGTAGTCGTTACAGCGGCTCGTCTTGCGTCGCGTACTATTTTTGTGCGCATGCGTTCACAGGCGGACAGCTACTCGTGCCGTCGTTACGCGGAATTACAAGGAAACGTGACACGGGAATAATCAAACCTTTTACGGAGGCACGTAAACGGGAATTCCCCTTTACTACGTTTACCTATCAAATGCGGCCGGATGCACGCGCGCGCGTAATGTTGTAACACGGACTTGTTACGAGAATACGGAGGTTGAAATTTGACACCGGAAGTTCAACTTTAGACGCGATTTTTCACGTTAGATGCAGCGGAATGGCACTTGCTTCTCAGCTCATAACTTCGCAACGGAACGGGCTACGCCCCTGAAACAAACGGCAAACTATAGAGCTTTCGGTCTAGCGCACAAAATGTATTTCGCTAATTTGCGCCATAAGGGTCGTTTTCTCAGAGCCTGTCACATATACATCAACATTACTAATGAATCACACTAGGCATAAAGAGGGAGAAAATGGTCCATGAAAAAGAGGATTCCCAGGGTTTTTACCTTACAAAACAGTTACAGCTACCACGTAGTGTTTATTCGTCGCAGAAAACACGTTGACCAGATCACAGCAGAGCATGATGGATTTTTTAGTTGTTGTGATTACACACTTTTCATTCATCAAAACTGCTAATATTTATAGTCTACTAGATTTACAGTATATCCCACCAAATTTCTTATTATTAGCTATAACGTCAGTGTTTAATGGTTACGGGATGGACGTGTGCGGCAAGAATGTGCTCGAGTTGTTAGTTTTCATAACAAACCCATTGAAAACTGTTAGCTATAAAAGACACACCACTTTTAGCAGAAGCGACCAAGGAAAAGAGGAAAGAAAGCAACCGAGAAAAATCAGTGAAAACTCAAGACTAAAAAAGAACCTCAAAAATGAAGTGGATTCTGCTGACAACTCTGACACTGGCCGCCATCATCTCAGGGACACTGGGTATGACTACATTTCCACTTCTTCATGTCTCAGTCATGACAGTATCCACTGCTACAGGTGTTCTCAGTAAGCACCCTGAATCACAGACTGTTGCAGAGGGCTCCACTGCAACCTTCACATGTGAACTGAAAAACTGTCCAGTCTGCTTTGTGCATTGGACGGCAATTGACACAGAGACTGGTCTCCCTGTCAGTGTAAATCCACAAGTTGTGGCTGAAGACCGTCTCACCAGCACAATCAGCATTCTCGCGGTAAATAACGCAGTGGTCCAGTGTGAAGAACACAACCGTTTTGCTACACCAAAGAGAGAAAGACGTCACTATAGCATGGTTGCACTGCTCCATGTAACTGAGGAACAAGGTAGGTATTTAGCTATGTAGAATAGGGACTGGGAAACCAAATTTCTTTTTCCTTCACCACAGGATCCGGGGCACAGATTCCAAGCACAGATAGTCGAGCATATTGAATACGAACCCTTCAAAAATCAAAAATCATAATGTTTATAATTATGAATATTCATGTTTGGTAAAACCTAATGAGAAATTTGGCTACGTTGCGATGCACATGTGCATGTTAGAGATGTGGGTGGGGCTACACTTACATGTATCTTGTATATGCTTCTGCAGACACATAATACTAAAGGCACCTTAATACAATAGAGATTGAAACTGACTTCTATGTTAAACATGTGCATATGTCATTTGTGATACACACCCCTCGCAAGACGTTAAGTCAGTTCATTCACAAGGGGAGTTTGTGGTATTGTAAGGGGATTTCCATTAGCTTCTTTTCAATGGCAATGTGTTTCATTCCATTTGTTCATGTCATTCACTCAAAGAGAAACAGGGACGCTGCCCAGACGCAGACAACAGAACGGTAACTTCCCTGCTTACTCTACTATGATGCCAAGTAGATAGGTGCTTGCTTGAACTGTATAACACATAGTCAAAATGTTGATACGCTATGAGGGAGGCAGGGAGGTGGCTGGTACTGCACTGGCTCCATTGAGGTTGAGAGGAGGGGGCGTGTCCTCGGGGAGCTCCTCATAAAATGTCTCCACTGCCTCCGTATATGGGGTTGTGCACCATACACTTTGCTCAGAATTTCTCCTGCAGATAATTATTATAGGGAATAATTAAAAGCCTTGTGTCATGGTGTTTGCCAACTTTGCTTCTTCTCTTTCCTCCTTCTGAGCTGGTAAACAACTACCATCCCAGTCCCAAACCCACAGAGCAGTACTGCCACCAGCAGACATACGACTCCGCCCAGTGCTCCACCCACCAGTGATGATGACACACCTAAACGATATAAAAAGAGTCTGCCTTCACAACTGTCAACAGTTGTAGCAAAACAAACAGTCGTAGCAAAACAAACTGATAAGAGTAGCTACATTGTTTACTCACCCTCACGGATTTGAATCCATTTACCGTTGGCGAATTGAAGCCTGAGCAAAATATTATATATAGCTACATGAATATACAGTTAGAAATTCGTGTATGTAGGGTGCAAGGGTGTACTTACTCCTTACTCCATGTTCCCATAAATCACTCTATTGCACACTCTATTGCACAATCTTTGATTTAGCAAAAACCCAAAACAGGCAAAGTAAGGCTCCAAATGAAAGCTAATGGTAGTAATGTCTTTGCATTTGCTAGCTAAGTATATGAACACACTGAAGTTGTTGCTGGAGGAGATGTTTGTAGTGTTCATGAAGACGGTGACATTGGCAGTGTAGAAAGTGTTGAGAGAGAATCCAGTCTCCAGCTCTATCTTGACTGGCACGCGGGAGTCTGAGATGACCACTGGCTCTGGGCTGGTGGACCACGTCTTATTGCCTCCGGAGATGACCAACATGTAGCTGGCTCTCTGGGATTCACAGTCTGGGAGGCTGGAGAGAGGGAGACAGAGTTCTTACAGATGACTCTGAAAAATTAACTTACAGTGAAAGTTATTTCTGCCTCTCGAACAGTTCCGTCATCATAAAGAGAGGTTTCTACATGCACCCCTCTCCTGGAAGACGTGTTATCTGTGTGCATGAGTGGGAGTATATCGAAGGTTCACACGTTGCCAAGGTACAAGTATCAACATTGAAGCAGTTTCGTTTTATCACTCACATGATAGAAGTGTGGCATTTACTAATTGACCCTCTTTGTCTTCTCCTCCATAGAGTGCTACTGTAATCTGAATTGTCTCGCATTCGTAACCCTTTCAAATCAATAGAAATGAAAGGGTCCTCCTCTTGGAGAAAGGGCTCTGTAGTTATCTTGGAGTTGGGAGGTGAAACAGTTACAGAGTATATAAAGACAGGGATATGGTAGTCAGCTGCAGGATTATTCCATGCCAGGTTCACTCTACTCTCGTTGTAGCCAACAACCCTCAGATTAGTTATTGCCCCTGCAATGATTGAGAGACTAAAGTATACTAACACTACATAATTAAGTGGTGGAAGACCTGGAGAATTTCTCTGAGACTATGTACCTAGACACAGAGCAAAGTGTCATGTTCAGTAGTAGGAGCTCTTTTTCTCTTACTGAAATCGGTTTGAGACGACACGTTGGCATACTCAGTGACAAGAGTGACTCTGAGAGTATAGTTTCTCTCTCTCTTGAGACAGGGCTCTTTGTCCGTGTCCAGAATGACCTCCACTGAGGCTCCACTGGACTCTATCTCCACTGGATCACGTGACCACTCCTCCTCCTCTCCATCATCGAAACTGAGAATGTAGCTGGCCTCTTGCTGAGGACACATCACTGGGGGCTGAGGGAAAGATAATATTATAGTGAGCATAGCAGCTATAGCTATACTAACTTACTGTAAATGAGATGACTACACTTTTCCACTGTCTGTCGGTAGAAAAGAGATCATCACTTGCGGCATTCTCCTGGAACTGCTCTGGAGCTGTATGTTGAAAATGCTTGTCTGATAGTAGCTAGTAGTAGGCACGATTCCCCACTCACTGATCAAAAGAGCTCCAGTTACTGTCTTCTCCTTGCAGTTCCCGGGCAGAGATACAGCAATTTCCACTTCTTTACACTCCTGATCCAGTCAAATCTATACCTTCATATCTTGCCCCTTCATCGTGAGCCTCCGATTGGTAAGTATAAGTTGTCTGAGGCCCATCTGTTACATTCACTCTGATGCTATACTCATAATTAATGTTATCGATGCTAGTGAAGGTTGTGGGAGGATTGTTCCAAGATATAGTGAAGTTTTCCCCTTTTCCCTTCTCAAGGAAGAGCTGGAATGGCAGGACTGGGTCTTGAACACCTGCAGTTAGAATGTGTATAGAATGTGTGTGGTGAACACCATTCTATCATGGCGATACCTGTCACTATAATGATCGCATGGTGAGGTTCTTCATCTTCAAATAAGCATGAAACCTCCTAAGGTTCATAATATCCCTGTGAATTTCCACTGGACATCAATCTAAAGGTAGCAGTAGCCTCATTGCTGTCACTGTCATAGTCCTCCATATGATAGAAATACCAATCAACCTCGTCATCAATTGGACAGAGAAAACTGAGTTCAGTGCCGTCCGTAACGCACTGACTAATCATCTCAGCTGCGAAATGAAAACGGCCATCAATGAGACTCTGCGACACTGCAGAAGACATGCTGAGCTGCCTTTCTTTTATTTTTTACCTCGAAACGTAGGGAGCGTTACAAGAATCGCCGCTAAGGCGAACAGCAGCGTAATACCGACGCTGCTTCCCATACTTACACTCTACCGGCCGAGCTGCAGTGTGATGAGCGCAGCCTTCGCTTGCGTAGTTTATTACGGCGTATCACGTGCTTGAAAATGAAATTATAATACAGAAACACAGAACACAGCGGGAAGTGATTAGCTAATATTCAGCAGTTTGTTAATGAGGTGTGGTGGGAGGGACGGTAGTCGTTCTTGTGGTCTCTTCTCTTCCAGTGCTCTCTTGTGTCGTGTGCTCTTCCCTGGCCTGGGGTCCTGGCTCCACCTGCAGCACTGCGAACCGACTGTAGAGATCGCTGACGTTGCCCCTGAATGAAATGGCTCCACACTGAATGACAGCTCCATTCATTCGACTCGAGGCCAGGATCCGAACCGTAACCGATTCATAGTCTTTGGAGTCACTTGGTTCGGTGACACTCTGTATGGTGATTTCCTTCTTCCCCCACTCCTTTGCCAGTCTCCTGGCTGGGTAGAAACGCTCGTTGATCTCCTCCATCACTGGGGAGACCAGACGCCAACGAAGAGACGTCTTGGAGCAGTTTATGGTGCAGGAGAAGTTAGCCCACTCTCCTGCAGTGACTCTCACTGTCTCTGGATGGTCCTCAATGCATCCTATAGAGACACAGAACAGAATAATATTAACAGTCTTTTACACTTAGTTAATGACTGAATGATGGAGAATAGATGCTGCAGAAGCTGAAAAAGCTTCATAGCTCTCACCGTTTGCACTGAAGGCTAGTACTGCCAGGAGAGAGAGGAGCAGAGCTGCCAGGTAGGATGAGGAGAAAGTGCTTGATTCCATCTTCTTGATGTTCTTCGCTTTTGTTTTGATTCCACTCGTTTTGTTTGTTTGCCGCAGGCCATGCTCTTTTTATAGCTACAGCAGGTTAGGGAGAATGATACTGCGTCCCTGGGACTCTCCTTTCCACAAGGGGTTCCGGAAGAACGCCGAGCCGCCGCTTGAACCCACCCCCGTATTTGCATACGTAACGTGGATAATAGTGCGCGCACGCCCCCTGCACCCCCGTATTTGCATACGTAACGTGGATAATAGTGCGGCTATCATTGAGTTTGCATAGAGCAACTACCTATTTGTGGTATTGGCATCCAGACTGTGTGGGCATGTGTCTGGCTACATAGCTGCGTACTTTTGCATGAGAGCATTCACTGCTGGTCTATTATTAGCAATGCTATCGGCAGCTGAATCACTGTTGCATGCTATTATAATATGTCACAGGAACAGCTAATTATCAATGCTTCACATTAGGGAACATGAGGAGAGGCCAGATAGGGGGCAATCCCAGGGGAAAATCCTAGGTTAATCCGCTTCCTCCTCAGACCACAATCACAGAATGTAGGCCAGGGTGTTCTCAACTTGAGTAAACACTGCAACCACTATATAGGTCTGCCACTAACAAGATTCATTGACCTTAAACACCAACAAAGAACTCTGATTCTTCTCAAACCAGGACACCTCACGAATCAGGACACATAATCAGCACGATTTACTATAATATTAAATTTAAAAATCCTGCGAATAAAGAGGGAGGGGGGAAATAGGGATGGTATAATAAGGAAGGGAGACAAGATAGGGATGGGATACACGAAGCATGGCTTAAAAGATGTAAGCACAATTCAAGACACCTCGCCATCATAAGTTGGGACACTATGTTTAACTAGGTGCTTCCATAATATTATGCATATATATTCCTATTGGATATCATGGGGATATTCCAGCCACTTAGCTAGGTAATGAGTTAATTATGACATATGTGAGGTGCTATATAGCTACTGGGTATCTTTAGGGGACTAGGGTGGTTCCTGTCTGTACAACAGAAGGAATGCACAAAATCACCTGCTATTCACCAGGATTCCCCAGTAGTATTTTCAGTTGTGTGTATATATAGCTATCTATATACCTAATGCATCCCTTGTACGGTATGTGGGAATTTTGTGGGTCAAATCAGTTGCTATAGCTGTGGTTTTGCTGGACCGGCACACAGAGAGAGACACAGAGACACTGGCCACGCATATTTGCCTCTGTGAAGCATCCATTTATGAATACTACGCTGTTCCAGAGTTGGTTCTATGATGAGGCGACACACTTGTTTTTCTGCTCGTTCTGTGCAGTCATTGTGAAAGTGGCCCCCTAGGTGAACTGTCAGTGACTTCATCCTCTGTACCAAAATACTGAACGAGGTGTTGGTAAACAGACGAGTCACAAGCGGTGCTCAACACGGGGAATACAATTTTCCTGTAGTTGGGAGGAAGAATACTGGCAACACGGAAGAGAAGAAGTAATATTTAACAAAAACAAGAGTTGAAATATAACGCGTCCCTTTTCTCTTAATTTACCACCAAACATGGAATTTGTCTAAACAGTTCATCTATATATGTGTAAATGGATCTCCCCAGTGGTACTATTATAATAGTGGCATCACACAAGGTTTTCCTGTAGCCAGCCGCATCTATGATAATGGGTATACCCTGGCAGCTGAGGTCCAGTCGGTCCCATGAGCCAATAATTACATCACTAAATTTTCACCCCACTCTAGGTGTGTTCAAAAAACATTCCCCTGGCAGCCCACCAACTCAATGTGTATACATTCCCCACTAGTTAATTGCTCTTTTGTCAACTACATCATGTTTATACAAGGAATGTGCCTGTGTAGCTAGATGCAGGTATTCCCCTCATGTACCCATTACATCACTGGGTGCTCTCTCATAGTACAGCAGAGTATTGTGGTATACCCACTACAGGAAGTAGTAAACAGATGTTAGAAGCCAGCAATGCACCTCCCAGTTCACAGTAACTACAGTCATGTTGAAAGTGGCTCTAGTCCACAGGAAAAAACATCCTCATAAAGTTTTCCACTAGCCCAGATCTTGAATGAACGATGTCATGATTCAGTAGCCCCTCAGGATTACTCAGCTGTGTGTGATACCAACACTGACTTTGATGCATACGTATGTCTCTGCGGAAAACACCGGGCGGCTGAAAACACCGCAGCAGTCCCAAAATCAATTACTTTGTCATGAGACAAACAACACTCACGGGCTCTTATCGCAAGAGCATATTAGGAATATCGTTCGTTACCTGTCATTTGCGAAAACTACCGGCCTAGCTACTCATGAGTACACATGTATTACGAGGATATATAAAATTCCGGGGAAAGTTTATCGACTGTCAAATCTCCCAACCATCACTCACACAGACACGTCGTCATCGTCTGCACACTTGTCATCACTGCTCTTAATCGAGGGGGTTCCCTTTTCATCATCATCAGCAGTGGGAGCCAAGGAGGGTGTGACTGTGATGGTGAAACGAGGGAGGATGGTGAGCGTGCCAGCGGAGTTCATGACGGTATAGCAGTCCTCGCTGGAGTAGTGTGACATCCGACTGAGGGATTTTGACTCCGGGAGGCCCACACTACTCCGGTCTTTCGGGGTAAATTTCTCCAGCCCTGGGAGGCTGGTGCCATGGTTCTCCCTTGGGGGAGGGATGTGGGGTATGGAGTCGGGGTAAGATGGAGTAGGGAGGGGTGGAGCCGAGGGGAGTGGGATCGAGGGAGGGGGTCGACCCCTGCAATCAGGGAGCTGTTCGTAGTGGCCGTCGTTTCCCTCGTAGAGAGGATTGTGGACCATGGCATTAGCTCTAGCCCTCACTGTGTGTGTAGGCCAACAGAAAACATACGACAGCTGGGACTGAACATACCAAACATAGTGCTATATAGAAATTGGTTAGTCTTCCGCTGCTATATATACACACGTAGTTTGTCGGAGAGGGAAATACTCACCTAGTCTTCCCTTCTCCCTCCTGGTCTTGGACACTCTGATGCGGGCGATAAGAATCCCACCTCCTACCACAATGACTAGGACGATGCACCCAGTAGATCCACTCACAGCAATCACGCCCACATCCAAGTCTGCTTTATGTGAAGAACCAGGCACTGACTTACCAAACTCACTGGTGGATGTTGTCCTATACTCCACAGTGGTGTTGGAGGTAATGTTGTGGGAGTCGGTAATCACAGTGACTGTGATGGTGTACTCAGTATTGGGTCTCATTTCAGATTCAATCTCTTCCTTCACCACCCAGCCAGTGTCCCTGATGGCTACTGGATGGTGAACCCAAGACTGGTTCCCTCCTGTGTAGCTCAGGACGTAACTGGAGTCTTGAAAATCACAAAGCTTGGGAGGCTGCAATTGAAAATGTATAACTAGATTTTGATTGTGTGCTGACGATAAACTCCTCACTTTGAACTCAATTTCAAAATGTTTAAAGTTTCCATCACTTTCAAAAGCCGGCTCTGCAGTGACATCTTGTTCAAAAGACACAGGATCTGCAGTAATAAACAGTATATATAGTCTCTAGGGCACCGTATGTATGGGCATTAGAGTATAAACATACATGCTGGTAAAGTATGCACGGTAGAGTTCAAGACACGGTTTATTCCATAGAGAGCCACAGAGTAGTTGATGGCTCTGCAGGCATGCTCCTCCATTCTGAGAGGCAGTGAGCGAGTTGCATCCCCAGCCACAGTCAGATGGTCCTCATAGACACTGTCCCCAGACCCCACCAGACTAGCAGTGACTGTGTATGTCACCGGGAGGGCTGATGTGAAGTTGCACGACCACTGGTGCTGCCAGGAAAGGAGGGCGTCATTTCTACCAAAAGACTCCACAGACAGATCCCTGACGACTGTGCAGAATGACTAATGAGTCTGTGCTGAGTTAGAACTGTCTATCTTACCTCCACCAAATGAGGTGCAAATATCTAGGTGAAAAATACAACATCATTATGCAGAATTCAGCTATAGTTGTGTGGCCTACCAAACTCAGTAGTGGAGCTGATATCCCCCAGTACAGTTGATATGGTCACAGTGACCCTGTACTTTTCCTCAAGACTGAGCCACTGGACCTCAGTCAGGTCAACCCTCACCAGATCCCCTGGTCTCTCCCTCAGTGGGCAACTGGCTACCTGCCACACCTCTCCACTGGCAGTCTGAGTGATGATGACGGTGTAGTTGGCCTCTTGAGACTGACACAGAGCTGGAGACTAGGGGGGGAAAGAAATTCAAGAGATGACTATCACAGCCTCTTACCACAAATGATATTTCAATCTTGTTCAGGTTTAGGTTAGCACTGAAGAAATGCTTCACAAGGATTTTTTCCCAGGAGAACTCTGCGGGATCTGTGATAGGGGATGATTCAGGCTAGCTACTCGATCAGCTAATGAGGCCAAAGGGAGACTCACAGGCTGGTAGAACAGCAGTAGTGCTTAGGACACGGCAGTCTCTCACCAGAGAAACTGAAAACTTGATTTCCTGGCATTCTTTACCAGAGAGATCTACCACCTCCCACGGAGTAGTGGATGGAATAATGGAGGTCGTGTATTCAAACACTTGTTCCCCGGTGGTAAAGATATCTCCTCTTATCAAGTAGGTCAACTGCTCATCTTGGGCCACCATGAGTTGAGTGGTGTCAGGATGTGTCCACGTTAGAGCTAAACTTGTAGTGTTCAGGAGAACAGCTTTCAGACCCTGTGGCTTAGGGTACACAACTACGGTAAAGACTTACCTAATAGCAGAGCTCCAGAGATCTTTGCCGGCTGACAGTTCCCAGGAAGAGAGATTTCAACGCTGAACTCTTCACACTGGTACCCATCCATCATCAGCTCTATCTCCACTGTACCGTTGCCAGTGTGGGAAACAACAGTCTCATTCACACTGGGTCCACTCTCTGTGGTCAGTGTCACGGTGTAGGTATACTCCACGTATTCGTATGAGTAACAGCAGCAGCAATATGGTGGGAACCACAGCAGGGAGAGGTTGGTCCAAGTCAGTGGAGTGAGCATTGGGAAAAACTGCTGCTCTGGTTGCGACTCATCTGTACATGAAGAAAACAACAGACTAGCTACACAGAGAATATAGTTCATGTAACGGTTTACTTGTAATGACTAGCATGGCAAAAAGTTTGCTTCGGATGTTTCTCTGCGAGCAGTGGATCAGTGAGGTATGATTGAATTGCTCTACATAGGCCGAGCCTGCAGTGACAGTGAGGTAGCCATCTCCAGTCTCTTCAGAGGTGGTGAAGTTGAGTACACCGGGACTATCTTCATATACTTCTCCTGAGTTGATGAACCACGAATCTTCATTGGGGCAGTGGAAGTTCACCTCACTACCCTCTACTACACACTGGCTCTCAAACGATGCTGCAAATATGGAGGGTTCACATGCGAGAGCATTAGATTTGCTAAAGCTAGAAGTAGCTACCTTCAGTGATCAGGCAAGTTGTACTCAAGACGACCACAAAAAAGCAAGAAATATTAAAGCTGAGTGTTGGAGAGAAGAGTTAGAAGGGAATTAACTGATATTACTTACTGCGTACCCCATTTGACCAGGTCCAAGTCTTGGGGAATGTGCTGCCCAACTAGACTGGCCTACTCCAGCAATGTTACTCAAATAGGAAGTGTACTGGGAACAAACCCTTTTACGTAAAATCTTATTATGAAAACTTATGTTGCTCCCATCAGTTCTGCTATATGTTACAGCATGTCACACTATACTGGCAATGCATGCGAGTACCATCAGTAGCTACTATGGCCACCATTCAGTCCCTGAGACGGTTGGGCAAGATGTGAAATGACACACTACCATGTTTCACAACACCTCTAACTATTGGGAAAGTAACCTCTCTCACCTCACTCTCTGGTATAAAGCTCCATGCTGCAACCGAGGATCCCAGACTGCCTGAACCACACAGGGGAGGAATGACTGTGAGCTCCATGACCACTACGCTACTAATTTTAATCAGTGGACTCTGTTCAATATCAGGTATATACAGACTCATAGCATGCTTTGGTGAGAGAACATCACTGAAATAAAACCTGTAGCTTTGATGAGAAATTTCTCCTATGTGTCTGACGTTGCTGAGGGTGAGTTTGTGACATTCTCTTGCACCATTGAGAAGACCAGTGGAGATATACTGTGGAGAGTTGGGCCCTACACCGTCCAGTGCTGTGGTGGCACTGTGGCCCTCCCGGGGACTGGTATGAACATCAACTGTACCATCACTGAGACAGAGTGGGAGGTGGTGGAAGTGTTGGGTATTGAGGCCAGTCCCGATCTGGACAGGGTCCCAGTGGAGTGTGTGCTGGCCTCATATGAGGGACCCAGCCACAATGAGTTCAGTCAGTTTGTCCTCATTCACGTCCACTCTCTGCGGTCTGGAGATAATTCTGGGTATGGAGGGTAAGTTTTAAGTTTGTGTCAGGCGAGGTACTGTGTATTCTTTTCTCTGCTTCTCAGGTAATGGGCTACATGAAAGAATCAACCAAGAATCCTATTCACTAGGGACACAATTTCCGATCAGTTAACAAATAAATTTCGAGATATTATTCCTGGTAGAAATTCTCCCCCCAAAAATATTCCCTATACACTGTATAGCAGCGTGAAACGGTTACCAAAACGCTAAGTGATGCAACACCCAGACACGGGTTCTGTGTTTACACAAGGGAACATGTGTAGCTCAAAGAGTCCCGGGCGACTGGCTGATATTTTCGTAAACTGTTAACTCGCACGAGAACATTATACACGAGAGAAGAGTAAGCAGGTTTCATTGGGAGAAGATTGGATGGTGAG